CAAAATCAATAGATAACTAAACAGGTATTGCATTGCACAAAGCTTTGCTACCCGGTGATGTTATTAGTTGCCCCAAGATCAAAGAAAAGGACGAATAATTGAAAGAGAAAAGAAGGCACACAGTCCATACATCGTCGTCGTCATCATCATCCTCAGCTTCAGATTCATTCATCCCACTAGCTCGACCAAGCAGCTTCTTCAGCTCCTTGCCAGATTTACTTAAACCTCCCTCCTCTTCATTCTCTTCATCCTCATCATCATCATCCTGAAATTATAAGCCATAAAATAACACATTCAAGGGAAAAAAATAAATCATCTTCATCTTTATGGACAATAATCATCACTATTTAAGAAAGCACTTTTAGAGCTTTTATAAGTCGTCATACTTCAAGGAGCAGGTCGCGGACTTGACTTTCAACAACTGGGTAAATATTAGCTATAATATAAGACAGCTTAGATCCATGTAAGGAATAAAGTATTGGTGAAACTACAGTAGCACCCAGAAAGAAAGAAAGAAAAATTAGCCAGGACAATTTCCTATGAAGCACAATCGCAATCAGAGCATGCCTATGCCTGACAAGTTCGACCACTAAAATCAATGCTTCAAATAGACATTAGATACTTCGCATTTGTTATGTCAACGTCTATGCTCATAGGACAATTTCCAAAAAAAAAAAAGAAAATTCTTTGGGTCCAATTCCAGAGTTCCAATTGAATCAATAAATAGACTGCTCAAATAAAAATATGTTTAGATGAATTATCCTTAAACAGTTGCCTGTATGATCTCTAATTTTTTTCCAACAAAAACTACTTCCATATTTGTCTAAATAACTTTCTTCTTGCTACAGAAACTAGTTGCATCCTCAGTGATTACATTTTTATGGAGTACGGGGAAAAAAAAAAAAAGGGCCCAAAATCCAGCTATAGATGCAGGTAAAGACATGGCACCAAAACAACCATGCAAAATACCAACTGCGCAATTAGAACATAAATTTCTCAGTCAAAATGCCACTTGATTATCTGAAAAAATAATAATAACCTGCTTAATTTCAGGAGGAGCAGGAACTTCAGGAGCCAAATCTTCTCTTTCCTCAGGATCATTACCAACAGCTTCATCATCATCAGTGAATATCTCCTCATGCTCCCAATCATCACCTATAATAGATGTGTAACTATATCCATCAAAAAGAATAAGCACATAAAATATAAAATGACTAATTAGCATATATAATATATAAAGGAACATCCTATATTCTCTTAATTCATGCGAAGTTAAGCTTTCACAATATAACATAATATGATCACATTTACGAAGTACGCCAATGGGCAATATCATTTTATAAAGGCCTCACCTAACGTCTTAGCCTACAAAATCAACAAATTGTTAGGCTCTTGGCACTACGTATAAGCTGCGTATGTTTTCTCCTAGATTTAATGCCTATCATACTCCTCTAAGGCCCAAATTAATGCTTCCAAACCAAAATTTTGTGAAACTTCAGATCCCCAAATTTTACTTGCCCAGACAATGTGATTTCACCAATCACTCTCTAAGCTATAAGATCCGTTAAGCATTGTGATCCACAACAATGAATCCAGAAGAGAAAGGAACAAACGGTTCCTATTGTCTGCAACCGTTACTTTATTCTATTGTCATTTCTGGCTAAGCAATGACATACATCTACCTAATCTATAGCAATTAAATATGACTGTGGCGTGGAATTGCATGGAAAATAGATCATTTCAGCACAAGACTTCGTAGAAAAGCCATTAATAAACATTACAGCCATACTCAACGGAAAACAGAACGAACAAACAAGACTATACTCACCCTTCTCACTATCATCATCATCATGATCATGGTCCCCTCCCCTTGGACCTTCTTCATCATCATCACCACTTCTTTTATTAAGTCCAAGTCTATTTTTCCTTGCTGCCTCCTCTTCCTCATCCTCTTCCCCCCTATCTGAGACATGACCTTCATCATCATCACTGGTTTTTTTACGTCCTCTCCCTCCTCCACCGCCACCGCCACCACTGCCACCGCCACCGCCACCATTACCATTTTCCTTGTCTTCAAACCTTCCATGTTCACCAAATGCAGCAGGACCATTACTTGCTGCTTTCATCATCCACCTTTCGTAGCCATCAGCAGTTTTCTTTCTATTCTTCATCTTCTCTTCTGCTTCCTCCAAAGTCAGTTGCTTATACTGTGCAACCTTGTTAAAGTTGTACCTAAAAGGACAAATATGCATATTACCCATCTGCTCAAATTCTTTGACCGGGGATTCAAATAGTATTAATAATAATCCTTCTAAAACAATCAAAGCTGAAATCATAAGAAAAATCTTCCACAAAACAATTATAAACACAATAAGCATACCAGGAACCCGCAGGAATGGCAACAAATTCCTTCCTTTCCATCATCAGCAAGTAATATGTAGCTGATTGTGCACCTTCAAGTTGACCCTGGTACTGCGACTGGCCTGTTTCATCCTCCAAGAGCCAGGGCTTATTCTTGTACTTCTCCTGCATAAATTCATCAAAAAATAAATAAATAAATAAAACAAAAATCTAAGGGTGAGGGGTTAAAACAAATACGATTGAACCACATGATCAGCCCTTTTCTATTGGACAGTCATGCAAGTTATCATGCCAAAAAGATGTACTCAACCAATTGTGTTTGATTATGGAATAAATGAAAATTTATAATCTCCCACAATTCATTGGCAATTATACAATGACAAGATGACCAAAATAGTTTCCTTTTCTGTCCTGTATAACCACATATGTCCCTTTAGCAACTCAAGCCTTGTACTTGACATTACCTTATATAAGGATCGTAATGTAATGTCAAATCTAGACATACTCAAATGCAAGGCATCCGTCATAAAAATCAGAAACAAGGAGATGGCGGCCTACATAGCAAGGATAGGTTCATTACCCGCAAAGCATCAGTAAGTTGGCGGCCCTGCAATCCATCCTTCTGTATAGACCACTTATTTTCAGCGCTTTTCTTTTTCGAAAAATCAGGTAATCCAGTAACAAATCTTCCGATGAAGTAGTTTTTGTCATTGCTAGAACTTGCACGAACATTATATTCCTGTCAACATTACAAAAGATCATCAGGCCGCTGCATCCCAGAAACAGAAGCCAAACATGACCATATTAAAGCATTGACTCTGGAATAGACATAGCGCAAAAGTCCAACCAAACTTTCCCCTCCATGAAGATAACACTGGCCACAAGTAATCCCTATGCATCAAGCCAAAGGCGAAGAAAACAACTTGGGAATTTAAAAAATCAACAATTCAGCCATAACCAAAGTGAAGGGCAATTAGAAAAAATTGGGGGAAAGACCCAAAAAAAAAAAAAAAACCAACCCGAATCAAGCGAGTAACGGTGGCTCCACAATCGTGGCATTTGCTCTTTTTCTCAGCCATGTTTTTGCCACAGTTCAAGCATAGAGTCATGTGCTTGCAGTTGCTTCCGTAGAGATCCGAGGTTGATCCACACCCACCACATGAGGGCTTCAACAGCAGGTCGATCGACATTTCTACGGCTCTATGCACCAAAGATTTCCTAAGAGATTAAACAGATACGCAGAAAATCACCTACTGAAGGGAAAACGGAGAGCATCTAGGGTTGAAGCCTTGTAACTCAGCTGAGATTTTGGATACTGCACAGCTTCTGAGGCGAATCGGAATCATGAAGCTGCCCATGAATGTTCGGTAATCCTATACTTATTTCTCCTCCTTTTTTTTTAATTACACATTTTTGGGCAAAAATGCTTTTCTCACTGTGGAACCTGCGGGGACACCGATTTAAGTGTTGGTTGAAAATTTATTAAGATTTTAATCTACTTTATTTTTTATAATACTATTTATTTGTTTTATCTCCAAATAATTTTTATGTGATTGCATATGTTAAAGAAGCTTTTATTAAAAAATAATTTCACTACATATGATTGATAGAGATATTTTAGAAAAAACATTTATATTATAAATAATTAATTTAATTAATTTTTTTAATATTATCTAGTTCTTATATCAAATACGGGGCTATTATAATTTTGCGTGTATATATTTGGCTGCTATGTTCCATCTTACCTATTTAGAAAAACTTTAATATTTTCTTAATCGTTTTCTATAGATTATTTTCTTTTTTATGGAGCATAAAAAATATATTCATAGAGAATAATCTGTTTTTTTATGAGAAACTAAAGCAGAGAGTACACTTATAGCTCTATTTGTCATCACGATTGAAATCAAGTATAAACACGTTTCACATAAGCTCAGATAAAACTCCTCTTACATAATGATTGAAAAGATGCTTATAAGTTATTCCAAGTAAGTCCTATATATATTTATAACTTATTTTCTTAAAACTGCTGATTTTATTTTCATCAACTTTTTTGTACTCGTATAGGTTGGTGTCTTATGAGGCTGACTCATGTTGTAATCCTTTTATGTTGTGCCAAGGTTTTATATGTTTCATCATTTTATCAAAAAAAAAAAAAAAGCCTAGAGAGATGTTCGTATTTTCCTTTTATTTTTTCTTGGTTCAACAAACTCCCCCCCTAATTATTTATGTAAGATCTAATTAACTAATTTGAATAAATTAAAAATGTTAGTTAAATTAATTAATATGATAAATACCATTAATATTTTTTTTAATTCCTCTACTTTGATTTTTATTAAAAAAATCAATAAAATTAATTTTAAAAAATTGATAAACATATGAAATATGTCTTTAACATAAAATTAATATCAACTCCCTAATTAAATCGTATATTAAAGTTATTATCATTCAAAGTGAAAATAAGTGAAAGGGCAAATCAAAGACTTTCAGTAATTGTGTAAGCCATTGTCATGTCTAGTATACACTCTGAGGATTTACATATTCAGAGTGTTTAAGAGGTTTAACAACAATAATAGGTTCAGATTGGGCATAGGCATAAGGCATCCTTGGACCCTGGGCTCGGGGACTTTCTAAATTTGTTCATAAACTTGTGGTAAGGTATAAATGGACGGTTCTCACTTTCTGAAAAAGGCAGGCCATCAAAGCGTATGGCGCGCCAACAGCATTCAATTATTCCAGACCAAGGGGGGTCTTCCCATTTTCAATTTCAATCCAGAAATCTCTTTATAATCACTCCCACTCTCACTTTCTCTTTCTCTTCTTCTTTGCCATTCTCTTACCCCCAAATCTCCCCTTTCCCTCCATGAAACCTTCTCGCAAGCCCACCTTCTTCTCCTCTTATTCCACATCCACTACCGTCACTTACACCACCCACCGCAATGAACGCTCTGCCCCTCATAATTCCCACAATTCCACCCAAGTCCCCGTCCGTCCTTGCCTTTCCCAACCCGACGCCGCCATTAAGATCCAATCCGCCTATCGCTCCCACAGAATTCGCGCCCTCTATCGAAGAATCGCTTCCGTTGATTCTGAGGCCGACCACCTGCAGCGCTTGATCCAACGGCAGGACACGGTGGACGCCGTTCGGAGCAACGAGCTAGAGAAGTTGAAGATGAACGAGGCGTTGATGGCTCTGCTGCTGAGACTCGACTCCGTGCCTGGGATCGATCCGACGGTGAGGGAGGCTCGGAGAAAAGTGAGCCGTCGGATCGTGGGGTTGCAGGAGATACTGGATTCTGTTTGTGAATCCAAGGTCGATGACTACAATTGGTGGGGCTGCAATGGCTTGATGAAGAATTGGGGTGATTTTGTTGCGGATATGGAGGAAAGTGTGTGTAGGGAGAGAGGTGGTGAGGAGATGGAAAGGTTTTGTGCCCAGAATTTGGGTTTCCGATGCCTGGAAAGGTTTCTTCGTCAACCCTAAATTTCCCATTTACCGTGTACTATATCTTCTACGTTATCTACCCCTACCTTAGGGCCCGGTGATTATGACCTTTACTTGAAAATACGGGAACTATTTATAGTTCTAACAGAAAGCAATTAGCAAATTCTTATCAAAACCAATCCAAAAGAAAATCAGAACCAGTGCATGATCCTTGAACTATCAGACTCAGCAAGTTCAAAGCCAGGATTGGCGAAGATATGATAGACGATGATAAATGACCACCTTCAAGTAAGAAGCACGGTTCGGATGGGTACCGACATCGATATGCAGCACCACGACACAGTTTGTGGCTAGCTATACTTAAAACATATGTGATCAGTTAGAGCCAAATTAGAAAGCAACTAAATTTTATATTATTTGCAGCGCTAGAATTCGGAACAAGAGCAAGATCCTTCAACTATCAAAACACAGCAAGATTAGAGCCCAATCTTTAGATTACGTGATATGTAGCGATGATCTTCAGTTTGTACTGTAAATACGAGATTTTACACTACTGTTGTTGTGAATTTGAAGGATCGCTTCTCTTCTAAGAGTACAGACACGGCATCGAATCTGCATGGAACAGAGCTCTGAATTTTGAATGAAGCATATATATTTTGGTAGATACTTGGCTGCTAGTTCGCACAGCTACACTTGCACTTTAGCATGCACCTTTTGCAGTCTGAGAGTGTCGGATAGCCATCGTTGCAGTCACATTTCTTGATGCAAACAGACCTTGAGGTGCCACCCCACAGGCAACGAGCCATGCAGTGAAGGATTGGCGGGCAGGGTGGGCAACTCTGCTTTATCTGGTTCATTATGCAGTCCTTGCAGCCCATGCCGTTGGGTGAGCAACCCAGCACCGGCGAAACCAACATCACCGTAATCACCAGCGCCGCCGCATGTGCTAGAACTACCATGGCCTGTACCTTCGCTTCCATATGACTAAGGTATTTGGTTGAGGTCTTCTTGATCGGCTTGCTAAGTTATATAGCGCTCGAATCTTGAGTCTTAACATGTATTGAAGGTTATGGGGTGCAGTCATGCTATTCCTGCTAATCCATGTGTGATCTGTTGACAAACATTGGAGAGGACGATACACGTATACGGCATCGAAAATGATGAAATGTTTAATGTTTTGCAATGAAAGGTTTACTGCTGTTCTAGACCGACCTTACTGTCGAGCTACCTCATTTACTGCCTTTATGTCTCTGCCATGCCAGTTCTTGGTTTGCTCAATAGTCTATCTTGAGTAGTTGAGGTGTTAATCTCATCGTGGTTCGATAAGATTGTTGTTTCACTTTTACTTTTACATGGGGAAAAAAACCTTTTTTTTTCCTTTTTGAAAGGTGTTGAGCGCATATCAGTTTATGCTGCTCATGCCATGCGTTACTGACTACTTGTTTAACGTAGTACTGTCACTTAAATTGGAGTCATTTATATGTTGAGCACCATTAATCATCTTTGATACAATTACATCTAATATTGAATGTAATCCAATGTTTAAAATATAGAGATCAAAACAACAATGTCCCAGACATGAAACTTGGAATAAACATATGTTAAATTAATATTTCTTTTTGTTCAAAATATAAGTATCAAATAATTAATTTGCGCAGTTTAAAAAGTTTGTGAAAATTAGTCAACAACAATAAATATACTTCATCCGGTTCAAAATATAAACTAAACTTTGTTGGAAGAGTTTGGTTTTTTTATAAGATAACATTTATTTTTATCTAAACATTTAATGAGTCTTTTCTAATTTTACCTCATATATATTCGTTTTCTTTTTTAATTCATTTATTGCAGCTTTTATTTATTCTCTTTATTAATAAAAGCGTATTTGGAAAAAAAAATACATGCCTTGTATATTTATTGTTTTAAATAGATTTTACCTAATTTATTGATAAACATAAATAGATAAAGTTTAACTTATATTTTGAACCAGAGGAAATATTAAAAATATAACTTATTTTTCTAAAATATAAAAATGAGTAAAGAAAAATATAAAAAAGAATGAATGGGGAAAAATGAGACAAACATATAATTAATTAAGAGTGAAAATAGAAAAAATACCTTGTTTTGAGCGCAACTCTAGATGAGATAATATTGTACTCTTTCAGTTCTAAATATAATATTTATTTTATAGTGTAAATTATATTATCAAATGAGTTTTATATTTAAGATTAGAAAAATAATAAGTAAAGTATCCAATTTTAAAATTAATTAGTTTTAACATCGGCTATGTACAATCTCCAGACCAGTTTGAATATGGGGGGACTGTGTTTACTGCATACTCCAAAAGCTGTCTCATTTCTATATGCTCTTTCCAACAACAGCACTCCGCGTGTAGAAAGAAAAGGAGTGCAAAAGCACTGACTGATGACGAGAATGTATATACACTGAAATAAAAAAAAACACTTAGAGCCCGTTTGGTTCAACTACATATCCGTGTTAAGCTGCAATACAGTGTATGGTAATGCAATCTTTATTACCATAAACATGTTTGGTAAGTTATAAAACTAATGGAATGATATTTATTATTTAAAAAATAAAAAACTGTGAAATTATAATTTTGCCCCTCTTGCAGAAAAAAATCTGTTCTCTTCTTCTTCGTTCAAACATTCCTTCTTACATATTCATAAATTCAGCATATTTGAAAAATTAGCGAAGCTGCTTGGCAAATGCACAATCCCTCTTCTCCCCATATGTCATCTTATCCCTCCTTAGCCAAAACCAACTTAAACCAACTAAATCAAAGAAATAAATAATGAACAATAGCAAGAGGAAATGCCAGAGAAGCTGACGATGGAAAAGGAAAGAACCTGCACTGTCCATGATGGTTGCTATGGTGGAAACTGAAAAGAAAGGGCTCTAAAATAAAATCAAAGTGGCTTCTGAATTAAGATACTATCTATGAAACTTGATTAAAATGAACTGCAGGACTAAATAAAAAAACTTAGTTAAGATCTGGAAAAAAAAAAATTCAATCTAGTGTTGCAGCGAAAGGGAATGATGGTGAAGGAGGGCAAGTGCGAGGGAAGGTGGAAGAAGGAGAATGATTGAGGTAGGGTTACAATGGAGTAGTTAAAGATGAACATCATTGAGCTTCGTTGGCTCCGATTTGAGATTAGCTTTATCATTGTCTGATCTATAGAGGTACTAGATGAGAAAGGTGGTGGTGATGTGGGTGGAGCACGGGAAGACAGCTGAGTAAGGGAGGTGGAAGGAAAAATGACGAGGAAAAAACGAATTGGGGGCAAATGAGACTTTTTCAAATACGCAATAAGATGGTAATGAATCTTCATATGGGGAGAGGTATGAATAGATATTACCAAAATTTTGGTAATCTACATTACCATGGTAAACCCCGTTACCATACTAAAGAGCAACCAAACATTTGTATTTTGGTAATGCAATCTTAATTACCATTACATGCCTGCAATGGAATTGAACCAAACGGGTCCTTAGTATTCATGAGTTTGATTTGAATAATTGCAAAAAAAAAAAATCTAAAATAACAATAATTTTGGGAATGAAGAGTTGGATCATGATGCTCTAAACATCCAAGAACAAGTGGCATTCTTGAGAAACACAATCACTGCGGTGTATTCATGGAGCCCCCTCTGATTTGCATTGCACCGATCTCAAGTGTAAGTGTCAAATACGTGTGAAAGCTATCGAGCGTTAATAGCAACTTATGGTGAACATGCTCTTTGTACTCATAAGATCTCACTACGGCAGCAAGAATCAGAGCTTTAATGGCGTAATTCATTGGAGATTTCTGGCCTTTCTAGTTCTGATTATCAAGGAATTTGATGGGAAGAGAAGCAAGAAGGATGAAGCGAGGAAGAGAGAGAGAGGGAGAGAGGGCATTTATTGAAAGCGAAGAGGAAAAGCTTGAAGTTGGTGAGCCCGGCAATGAAGAAGGCGAAAGTGCCTCCAAGATGAACAGAGTGAAGAATGAGAGGAAGATAGAGGAAAAGACAGACAACAGGAAAAACGGGAAAGAAGCCTGGCTATGTGAAAGCAGTAAGACAGAGATGTGATAACTTGAATTCATGCCTTGACTTACTACTTCTGGTATTTAATATAAGATCCTGTTTGATTTTTATTTTGGTCCTAGATATAAGACTCTAATTTATTTTGTCTCTTATATTTTTATATTTTTTCCCAAAGCAACCCTTTTAACAATGATAGTTCTAGTTAATACACTTGATTAGTAAGAATATTTTAGAAAAAACAACACCTATTTAGGACAAATAACTAACTCAACTTACTTCCTTGATCTCCTTAAATTAGTTAACTAGCTCTTATAATTAGGACCGGAGGTAATAGTTTATTAACTCATGCTCCATTATTGGTTGAAAGCTTAAACATGGAGAATGATCAGAGAGAGGGTTGAGGATTTTGATAGAGGCGTTGTAGCTGAAACCTCAAAGAAAGCTGAATTGGGATCGTATAGGCAAAATATTGCTGCAGGGATATCGATTGGATATAGAGGCTATTTTTCTTACTCTATTGCCGCTTACGTTTCCCAATAAAATGCTGTTTGGATTGTTTTCAAGGATTGGATCATCTTTTTTGTGGGCAAAAGACCATGCATCTCCTTTAGATGGATCCGGTACGTCCTCTTTTAACAGTGGTCACTTCGTTTTTGGCTAAACTGATGGATGTTTGTTAAGCTGCATACCTCAAAATTATAATACCACCTCTGGTCCTAATTATAAAAACCAGTTAACTAATTTGAGAATGTTAAAAAAATAAGTTAAGTTAATTATTTATAATAAATATGTGATGTCTTTCCTAAAATATCCTTGTTAGTTAAATATATTGGTTATAACTACCATTATTAGAAGGACTACCCTGAGAAAAAATACATAAATATGAGAGACAAAGTGGATTGGAGTCTTATATTTAGAACTAAAATAAAAATCAAATAGAATCTTATATTAAGAACCGGAGATAGTATTTGATTAATGTTCACTTTGAAGTTGCAGGAGTCGCCAATTAGTGATTTAACCGTTTGATAACTACTACTTATTGTATTTTTAGAACGAGGATAATTTAAATTAGGGAGAATCATTATAAATGTAATTACCAAAAAGAATCAATTAGCATCATGACCTGTTGTTATATGTTACCTTTGATCTTATCTTTAATTATCATCTGCAATGGAATTACCTAATGGTGGGAATCTCTTACAATTAATAATAATATTTTAGAGAGAGAGAGAAAACAGAATGTATTGAGATCTTACATTTAAAATCAAATATCTTAACTAGTTTTTATATTAAGAATTGAGGGTGGTATATTTTTAAGAAACCCCCAATTAATATGGTGCCAGCCTACCAGGTGATTTTGAAATAAGTTAATTAGCGAATTCTTACTTTTCTCAAAACATCTTATATTTTGGAACATTTAGACGTTTCGAAAATTGTCTTCAAATATGAAACAGAGAGAAGGCCCTATAGGGCAAACAATTTTCAATTAATATGAAATTTTAATACTCCTCTGATCCTATTTATATTGCAGAGAGAAGATATTTTTAGTTCTGTTCATAGGGTATTAAGAGAAATTTTTTCTATAAATATATAATTTTACTTTTTATTTATTATTATGTTGATTTTATTTATATAAGATATAATGTATATTAAATAAGGATCAAGTTGAAAAGTAGTTAAATTTTAAATGAAAATTAATAAAATTTAAATTTTTTCTTGATCTAAATGAAAAATGTTAGAAGTGATTTATAAATAAAATCATAAGAATATGTATTGATTAGAATATTCCCATTTAATTCCTATTTTTATGTCCCCGTTTTGAAAGAGAGAACAGATTATTGAAAAGTGATCAATAGAAGCATTTTTTTTCTTTGAATAAATAGAAGTATGAAATGAGGATACATTCATACATATTTGTAAATAGACAGATAAAAAAAATAAGTTGTCCAGATTTTGAATCTCTAACAACACGTTTGGTTCACTAAATCTGAGGAAATGTAATGCAATGCAATGCAATGCAATGTAATTATGATTACATAAGTTTGTTTGGTATACCATTAAAGAAAGATGATAGATAGACATAAAAATATTTGATTGGATTACAAACAATATAGGAATAGGTAAAAATAATGTATCAAAAGACAAAATTACTCTTATTTACACACATATAGTTACAATGAATTGAAAAATTTTATTTTTCACCCAAAAAACTTACTAACCCTATCCACATTTATAATGATAAAATAATAAACAAAATTACCCCTTATTCATATATATGATAAATTAAAGAATAATTTTTATATAGAGTAGACAAAATTCCTATCCATATATGATAAATTAAAGTATAATTTAAATGGTCTTTATATATATTATACTCATACACAAATACGGACACATACAGATATAAATATATACTTATAAGAACCAATAAGTTGAATATAATTTATAAGCTAACAAATAAATACATAAATGTATAAATTTTCCAATAAGTTGAAAGACGATGCTCAGCAGTGGTCGAGTCTCTAGCACAATGATGAAGCACATCTGATGTGGTAGGAGGGACTTTCTGTTCGTAGTTCACAGTGGCAGCAAAGAGGAGGGAATGAGGAGGCAAGCAAGGGTTTCCAATAGATTCAACACGTGTCCAATCTTGTCAAATTCATAAATTATAAGGGTAATACTCATTCCATTCCTTATTATAAGAGATGAATAACCGAATTACATTAATAAAAAAAATAGTTAAAATTAGTTAAGAACAATCAATGTGTAAAAAGTATGATTTTTTTTTCCAAAAATGCCTCCATTAATAAGGAGAGAGAGCATGAGAGAAAACAATTAAATTATTAAATGAAAGAGAAGTGGGAAGGAGAAAGAGTGTGAGTTGGAGACAATAAACATGGGTAAAATAGGAAATTAACACAAAAAAGTAGAGACAACTTTTAAGTGTCTCTTATATATAAGAACATATAATAAGCATCAAATGTCTCTTATAATAAGAAACGGAGGGAGTAATATCTTTTCTAATTGATTACAAGAGGTCTTTATCCTCGTTCATAAATTATAACAGTGTAATCATGATGCCTCCATTTGATATAATTAATATTGCAAAATGTCATCCTTTATATTACATAAATCCAACCAAATATCTAAATTGTGCTTTTACATTAGGATTACATATAATCTTCTTTCATGGAATCAAACCAAACAGGCTCTAAAAGAATGGTAAAAGTTTTTAAAATAAAACTAATAATCTAAAATAAAAATAATTTACTAAGAAACAGTGACATTCTCAAGACACGCAATCACGGCGGCGTACTCTTGAAGCACTCTTTGATCTGCGTTGCACCGCAGAAGCTGAGGGAAAAACAACCAAAACGCCGTGATCAACACAAACCCAACGGTGAAAGGTCCCGATACCATTCTCGGCAACCACACCGTGCCGGAAAGCTGCTTCTTCAAACCTATCTCCACCACCAAACAGAGCCCATGAAGGACAAAGAACCACGTGATCTCCCACGTGGGCCTCGCTCGACCCAGATAATAAAACATCAACTCGTGAACTAAGCCTGATACAAAAAAAGTAGCAAACACCGCCGGAAGCGAGGCCCATTTACGGCCCATAAGAAGTACGAACACACTGTACGTGGGCCGGTATACCGTGGGCCGTAGAATTCCGGTGGCCATTAAATTCCATCTTCGTCCCCAGAAATCTTGGAGCGACGAAGACAGATAAGGCTCATTGAATTGTGGTTCAAGCTCAATCCCAACCAGTGTTCGACTCATGGTCGCAAACACAGCCAGAATAATCTCAAGTGTCAAATATATGTGAAAGCTATAGAGAGTTAATAGCAACTTGGGGTGGAAATGCTCTTTGTACTCGTAAGATCTCACTATGGCAGCAAGAATAAGAGCTTTAATGGCGTAATTGATGGGAGATTTTTGGCCTTTCTGGTTCTGATTGTCATGGAACTTGATGGGAAGAGAAGCAAGAAGGATGAAGCGTGGAAGAGAAAGAGATGGATGAGAGAGGGGGCCTTTGTTGAAAGCCAAGAGAAAGAGCTTGAAGTTGGCGAGCCAAGCAATGAAGAAGGCGAAAGTGCCTCCGAGATGAAGAGAGTGAACATTGAGAGGAAGATAAAGGAAGAAACAGACGACAGGCAGTAGGAGGAAGAGTCTGAGAGAGGATGAAGAAGGAGGAAGAAGCTTGGCTATGAGAAAGCAGTAAGACAGAGACGGAATGACTTGAAGCCATGCCTTGACGTAGTTGAGAATCTCACCCTCCATTTTCGGACGAAGCTCAAACGCAGAGAACGAAGAGGTGAGTGTATGATCAAAGAGAATGGCGTGTAGATGAAAGAAACTTGGCCGGCAATCGTATTATAAAGGACAACGAATTTATATGGAAATGGAATGGGAATGGGGGGCATCCAGGATCGTATTGTGATTTTTTTAACGAGTTACTTCTTGTCTTAAATATAAGATATTTTTTTTATAATGTAAAAAAAATTTTATATTTAGAACTGGAAGAATATTTACATATATTTGTCATTCAGCGGTAAGAGAACATTGTTGAATACAAAATACAGCTCCTGGGGGATCGTGCAATTGTGTTAATGTGGGGCAAAACCATCGCCATTGAGAAGATGGATGTAATAGTGATTGGCTGATTGCATCTTTAATATTCCGTGCATAAGCCTGTGGTTATGCTGACTCTGTAACCGTGTAGATGTTTTCCAACGCGTGTCAGTCACCCATAGGAAAAATAATCATGAAAAATTAAGTGTTATTTATAGGATATTTTCAGTAGTACATTTGGTTTAAAATATAAACTAAACTTTTTTTTAAATTGTTGTTTTTTTATAAGATAATATTAAAAAACAAAAAACCGGATCGGACACTGAACCAATTAAGACACTGGTTTAAAGGTTAATAAGTTAGTTTGAAGTTAGGTTGGGCTAGACTGGTAATAATTAAAATAATATAATTTAATTAAAATTAGTAATAATATTATAAAAATATTCGTATTCTAATTATAAAAAATAATACTCCTCCGGTCTTAATTATAAGACCCAATTGACTTATTTGAGGAGATTAAGGAAGCAAGTTAAGTTGGTTATTTATAATAAATAAGTGTTGTTATTTCTAAAATATCTTTGCTAATTAAGTATATTGGCTAAAACTATCATTATTAGAAGGATTATCTTGAAAAAAAATACATAAATATAAGAGAGAAAATGGATTGGGTCTTATAATTAGGACCAAATAAAAAGTTAAATTGGGTCTTATAATAAGGACCGGAATAGTATTTAATCTTTAAATTTTATTTTTTTCCCCTTCTTTTCTCTATCTTCTCTCTCCCACGTGCCATATCCACTTTTCTCCTTATATCACACACCACGGAGCAATGTCTCTCTCCTTGGACATTGAACAAGCAGGTAGACTAGGGGGTAGCAGCTTATCTTGCCTCTTTCAACACGCAACACCATTTCTCCCTCCTTTCTCTCGAATTACTTCCTACCGTCTCACTTCTATTTCTTCTTTATCAGCATTCATCCATCTTTATTCACCCATCCCGCGCTCTCTCTTATCTTTCTCCTTCTCTTACAGTCATCTACGGGTATATTTCAAAGGGATACAAACAAAGATTTCTTTTCCTCAGCCTCCATGATCTCCTCTACTTTTACTACCCGTCTTTACAGTGTTCATGATTTCCAGCAAATAATAAGACGTCCATTCCTTTTCCGGTGAATGATGAGAGTAGTTTTGGGAGGGAACCGACCAACCTAGTCCATCCAACGGTTTTTCCGGTTTTGACCGGTTCATTTCAGGTCGATTGGGGAGCGGTTTTTTTAGCTAAACCAAACCGAATTTTAGGCTGGTTCACCGGTTTTTCAGTTGAACCGCCAGCCAAGTCTGGTTTTTCTTTCTTGGATAACATTCACTTTTGTCCAAACATTCAATAAATCTTTTTTTAATCTTATCTCTATATATTCTCTTTCCTCTTTAATTCATTTATTGCATCTTTTACTTATTTTCTTCATTAATAAGGGTATAATAGGAAAAACAAATATATGACCTACACATTTATTGTTTTAAATTGATTTTAAGTTCTTGATAAACATAAATAGATAAAATTTAACTTATATTTTGAATAGGAGGGAATATATATTTTACAGAGGGAAAAAATCTTAAACTACATTATGATAAATAACAAAATAAAATGGTACATTCATGTAAAAAAAATTTAATAAGTTAACTTATAAAAAGAACCAAAAAAAAATATTCTTTCTCTACTTTATAAATAAAACTAGAAGAGTAATTCTCGTTGTATCTCATCCGATATAAATTTCCTCTAAAAAATAACTTGATTCAAAATATAAGTCAACTGAAAAGTGATTATTTATCAATTATATCCTTGCAATGAATGTTCAAATGTCAATCCTTATATGTAAAATGAATCTTATATTTAGCATGAAAGAGGATATAATTTAAAATTTAAGGTAAATGAAAACGTTTTATACTTGCAATGATAATGACTCTTAATTAACAATATTCCATTCTCTTAATTTGCTATTCAAACCGCGACATGGATTTGGGAAGCTTTTTTTTTATTTATTTGAAATTACAATTGTATATGAATCAATTTAAATGAAAGAAGAACAAAAGACCCTTTAATCAATATAAATACATTTGAAATCACAACAGTGAAGATTCTTGTCTCCTGTATGTTCCCAGCAAGACTGGGGATTCCATCCCTGAAGGCTTCATGTTTTCTGAAGCTACTAACTTACTGTTGAATAGGAATTGTGATAATGCTCATCCCATCAAAAGGTATTGTATGACGAAACAAAGAGTTTAATGCGTAGGAACTGCCAAATTTTTATTAGTCATAGATCGGGAGAAAATATTTCTCTTACTGATCAGGTGACTAATTTTCATATTCTTGATCAATCTCCATCTATTAACTAAATAAATGGAGTTTGATGAGGAATTCCAGGCCGTACCTGCATGTATTTTCAAGTTTCTTTTTATGAGCAAATACATATCAAATTTACATTAAAGAAAAGAAGAAGATTTCTTGTTCCCACGTGTTGCTTCGCAATAAAAAGATTGAGGTTCTGATTAGGTTTCTTAGCTGTTATACGTCCATTTCATGCCGTCCTTGTACATTTAACTATGGAGTACTCTCTTGCTATTTTTAATATGAGAATTTATTTGATTTTTATTTTTATTTTAAATATAAGGTCTTAATCTATTTTATCTATTATATTTATTTATTTTTTCTAAGGTAATTATTGTAATAATAGTCGTTTTACTTAATACACTTAATTAGTAAGAATATTTTGAGAAAGATAACATCTATTTGTTACAAACTAACTAACTAAACTAATTTTTTTAATTTACTCAAATTAATTAATTAATTCTTATATTAAGACTGAATGCAGTATATATATACACACGTGCGCTGGGGGGGGGAGGATGATCTTTTTTGTTGCTTATTGGTTCTATGTATGCACCTTTTTAGCATCAAATTGGAAATATTTATCTTTAAATGTCTCTGATGTAAGAATGGTTCTGTGTAGGGGTGCACAAAGACTGGACTGGACCGGGTTGACCATCAGTTTGAAGTCTGGTCTGAAAATTCTACGGGCTGGACATTTTAGTCTCCGGTCTGGTCCAGTCCGGTTAGGCCCGGGACCAGGACCGGGTTGGACTGGTCCGGCCGGGTTACTGGACTGGTCCAGGTTGGTGTCCCTTTTTTTTTTCCCCCATATATAAAAGATATCTTTACAGCATATTGTACAGCTTTGAATCCAAATATTCTAACGTACATTGAACTTTTCCATTGAATAGATAGAGCTTTCTATTTTTTTTACTTATCAGAAAATAAATAAACACAACTCTTCCCAAGAAGATGATATTCTTACATGATCTATACATCACAAACTAAATAAGATCATTTTTAATATTGACAACATTCAAAGAAAAAAAATAAAAGAACAAACAAACAAAATAAAATAACCACATTTTAATACTAAACTTTCCTTTAAAGTTTAAATTATCATCAGTCATTGAAGCTACATATCAAAGTCTACATATCGAAGTCTGCTCTTGGCTGGCCAATAATAGTCAAAAACTCAAAATGTTCCACGGTTCAACTTCAATGCATATACAAAAGATCAAGTGAGTTAGCTATACAGCAGCCCTAATTAATTCAGTAAGTCATCCACCAGTTAGTACTGACTATGATGAACCAACTATATGGTGATTTTAATCAACCATCCAAGAGATCATCCATCCAAAACATCAACCATCCAAAAGATCAACCATCAAAAAGATCATCAACCTGCACAATTGAACTGACCAAAAAACATCCAGCCATATAGCCAAAAAAACAAGCTACCACCATGGCACCATCAAACAAACAAAAGACTTTATAGTCATATATGTCCAAAATATCTGAAACTGAAACTGAAATGCTGAAAGTCAAACATCCTCCCCAACATCAGTAATAGTGGAATGATCTGAAAAGTATGTAAAACATTAATAGTCAATGACATTACAATACAACAACACATATTATGAAATGATTACAAACAAATAAAATCTATTTAAATAGTTATATAAAATATAAGTAATCGATAGCACTACAACACATACCGGTCTTCACCACACCGTCTGTCTCTTGAAAGTTATCAAACTCTTGAAGCATGGATGCAAATTCAGAGAGAGATTGCCCAGGGAGTAGCCAATTCTGGGAACAAATCAATGCTTCAGTCATTGATGGGGATAGGGAACTCCTATAAGAGTCCACTATACGTCCCCCAGTGCTAAAGGCTGATTCAGAGGCCACTGTAGACACTGGAATGGCCAAGACATCACGTGCCATTCTAGAAAGAATCTTATATTTGCCAGAATTAGCTCTCCACCATGCTAAGATATCAAAATCATCATCAATAAGGCTATCATCAGCTGAAGTAGATGAAAGATATCTATCCAATTCTGATTGTGGGTCAGAAGAGCTTTTTTCTTTTTGAGAAGCTAACCATCTGCGACCTGGATCTCTACCCACTTGGCTTTGTAGCATTGCTGATGTTGATGATCCTGGGAGTACAGAAGAAGTAGCATTGCTTGAAGAACCAGCATTGCTTGAAGAACCATTGCTTGTTTGTCCAACAGAATATTCATCAAACATGCGGTGCAAGACATCTCTGGTCTTAATTTTCATGGCCATGCAAACTTCCCCATCATGAAAAAGTTGTTCAAAGATATGATACACATAAGCAAGTTTATACCGAGGATCTAAAATCACAGCTACAATGAGCAAAGGATTCATGTTTTCTGTTTGACCCCAATATTTTTCATACTTACTTCTCATGCTAAAGGACATCTCCAAAAGCAAAGGATCAGCATTCACAATGTTCTCTTCCAACAACTCATGAATTAGGGCAATTTGGTGGAAACAAGTGTTAGAAGTGACATTTAGTGAACTTGAAAACATTAAAGTTATATCATAGAACACCTTCAAGAATTTGAGAAATACTCTTGCCTTATTCCAATCATTAGCTTCAGGAGGGCCTTCACGCCTAGAGATGTCCCCTTTAGTGAAATATGCCTCATAGTCATCATCTTCATCTTCCAACCGTTCAAAAGCCTTTTGAAATTTCAAAGCAGATTCCAACATCAAATATGTTGAATTCCACCGAGTACTAACATCAAGACAAACAAGGCTAGTGTGTCCAATTTCTCTAATTCAGCAATATTTTTGAACTTTTGGAGACGAGCTGGGGAAGAACGAACATACTTAATTGCATTGCGAATTGAATCAAAGCTATTCTTCAACTCCTTCAAGCCATCATTAACCACCAAATTAAGTATATGTGCAGAACATCTAAGATGAAGGTAATCACCCCCACAAATCATTCCCTTCCAATTCTTAAGCCGCTTTTTCAGATATGACAAGGCGGAGTCATTACTTGATGCATTGTCCATGGTTATGGTAAATACCTTTTCTATTCCCCATTCCAAGAGGCATTTCTCAATTGTCTTGCCAACTGTATCACCCCTATGATTTTCAATCATGCAAAAATTCAATATTCTCTTATGCAACTTCCAATCAGGATCAATGAAATGGCAAGTCAAGCACAAATAATTGAAGTTTTGAGCAGATGTCCAGCAATCAGTCGTTAAGCAAACACGGTGTGTAGACTTCTTCAATATTTCCTTCAATATCTTAATTTCTCCAAGGTATAGTTGCCAACAATCTCTAGCAACTGTTGTTCTTGAAGGAATTCGAAATCTTGGTTCTAGCTCTTTCACAAAGTTTCTAAACCCATGCTTCTCAACAATCCGAAATGGCATCTCATCACAAATAACAAATTCAGCCAGCGCCCTTCTACATCGTTTTTGATTGAAAACATGAGGGACTAAACTCCTTGCTTGCCCACTTGGAGTCACATAGTTCAACATTGATTGCTTTGGTATTGTGTCAGCCCTATTTGGGTTCTTGAGACATTTTGGAAAGTGCCTTTTCAAGGATGTTGTGCCATGCTTATTTGGGTCACAAGCATAAATTGCATGACAATATCTACAAGCAGCCTTAACTTCTCCATTTGTTTCTTCCAAAGGTAATTTCACAAAATGCTCCCAAACTTGTGATTTTGTGCATTTCTTCTCAGGCTCTTTTCTCTTTCTACTCACATTCTCTCCAGCAGTATCTTGTCCAAGGTTAGAAACAGGTTCAGCTACTGAAGAGGGAGGAGGAGTGGGAGAAATTGATTCAGCAGGAGGGCCTATTTCAGTTTCACTAGTGCCCACTAATTGTGTTTGTGCAGATGAGGGTTGACTAGTAGCTGCTGAAGTTTCATCAACCATTTCTAACATGAAAATAAAAATCATACATTAATTAATCAAATCATAATATATACTATAGTTCTCGTTGACATAGCCATAACGAATAATAAAGGACCCTCCTCACAAGTTATCACGAAGCATTCAGCCATTCACTAAATTGACAACGACAAGGGAATGCATGACACACACACACACACATATATATTTGCACATAAATCTAAATAAAATCAGCAACACCAGACAGGCAGACACTGCAAAAGACAATAACAGCGAAAGAAAATCCTGATCAGAACAATGAAGATGGGATAATCACTGATCATAGAGAGATATTAGTGAAAGAATCACAATGTGCTAGGCATGAGCTACTGAGACGAACAATACAGATTCAGATCAAGCCATAAAAAGATCAACAGTTTAATACGCTAATCAAAACCCATGAAGACAGAAACACCGAAACAGCATCAGCGATCAAACACTGAAGAATGACCAATTTCTGATAAAAACGAAGCAAAATGAAACAATTGCTGTGCACAGAATAAACCGTAGAAAATTAAAAGCAAGAAAAAAAAGCAAAGAGTCAAGAAGAAGAAGCTACTCAAAGTCTTGAATGAGCCTTCCAAGGACAACAAGCTAATCAATCTTTGGAGAAGAAGCTAGCCGAGGAGCTGAAGTTGAAGCAGGAGCGCAGCGAACTTAGGAAGTGAGGAGATAATCACGAACGCGGATTCAGGGAAAACTGAAAAGTAGACGACTACTGAGGAAATGAGGAGATGATCGCGAAGTGAAGCTGAACCTACTTTCGAATCGACTGACTTGAAGATAGGGCCGGCTGGATAAGTTCCCAAATCCCTCGTGAGACTCCAGTTTCAGTCAATTGTGCTTGTCAGCCTTCATCGCCACTGCTTTGGCGACCTAACTGTCTCCATCTTGTGCCTCTCAATTCCCATTTCAAGCTTGGTTCGCTCCTCTCCTTGACCCCCAATCCAATAGTTGCTAGTTGAAGAGAGCGGCTTTCTCAGGTCGTGAAAGGGAAAAGCAGAGAATGTTAGGCCGACTTAGGGCATATACCGAGAGTGAAAGCCGTGAACTGAAAGTGAAAGGGATTAAGGGAAAACCGGAAAAGCATGGGAGCAAAACGCAGAGCAGAATCACAACGCAAGTCAGCTGGTCAATGCTCGTTGGGTTGGGCTCAGCTCATATTTAATATATCCCATGAGTCCATGACAGATAGATGTTTAAAAAAAAAAAAAAAGAGGTTACCTGGACCGGGCTAGACCACATGGTCTGAAATATGAGTCCTCAACCCGGTCTTACCCGGTTTGTTGGTCTGACCCGATTGGTCCTGTCTCTTGATCGGGCTGTTTTTTTTGGACCGGGTCGGACCGAGCTTCCTCGGGTCGGACCGGGTTGACCGGGTTTCAGACTTTGTTGTGCAGCCCTAGTTCTGTGTGCTGGCAAAAAAGTGTTTGGTATTTTAAGTTGTTTATCTATTCTAAGTATATAACTATTTTTGTTATTTTAATAACCTTCTAACTATGCCCGACATTGACATGTTTGGGTATGTGTTTAAATTGTAGTAAATTTTTTAAAAAAGAAAAAAAATTTTGACAGAAAAAAAAAGAAAAAAACTTGAAAACACGTATTATTTAGATTTAAATTTTATTAAAACATGTAAAAAAGACAGATATTTTAGCTTCTCAATTGCCACTCTGTTTCTTATTATAAGTCGCTTGTATCTCAAACCCGTAAGCCAAAAAATACATTAAATTAACTAGTTTTTTTCCACATTTACCCTTGTTAAAAAGTTGAGAGAGAGGGAGGGAGGGAGGGAGGGAATGGACTGCATGGGAAATGAAAAGCTCAAAGAGAGAGATGAAGAGGAGAGGAAGAGGGACGTGTTTCGATTTCAGACTTAAATTAATTAATTTTTATTAAATTAATAGGAATAAAATTGAAAAAAGATCATTAATTATACTACAAGTGATTTATATTTTAAAATAAATTTTTAGAGTACAAATGATCAATAATAAAGAACATAGTGATATATTTAAAAGTTAAAACTTTGGTTTGGTGAAGTCATTGTGCGACTTTTTTCCGCGTGAGTCGTGTGCCCCTTTTAAATTTAATTTTCTTTCCCACAACCCAAACGAGTCCGACGAAGTCTTCGTGATTTGCTTGGAATAATTAAACAATGGGCAATTTCTTCCCAAGAAAAATAAATAAATACTGTCTCTGATCCTTAATATAAGATTTTATTTGATTTTTATTTTGATTCTAAATATAAGATCCTAATCTACTTTGTTTCTAATATTTATATATTTTTTTTCAAAAAAGTCCTTCTAACAACGGTAGTTCTAGTCAATACATTTGATTAGTAAGAATATTTTAGAAAAAAACAATACCTATTTATGATAAATAACTAACTCAATTTTTTTTAATCTTTTCAAATTAGTCAACTAGCTTTTATAATTAGCACCGGAGGAAATAAGCAGTTAAGCACAACTATGAGTACTGGGCTCAAATTTCACTCCAATGACTTGCTGCCAGCCAGACATTTAACAGAAGCACGAGTTCTATGGGAAGTCTAATCATTAGCATTAACATGAGAAATAAGATTTTCTCCGTCCTTCTTCCTTGCGGAGCAAATTTTCATGTTTACCACACATAAGACATAATCTAAATAATTTCCTACATTGACTGATCTCTTTTATCTGTTGTGAAAATTTTCTTAAATCCATCAATAGATGAGTGTGATTTAGACAAGTGGAAATGATTATGAAGCGTCCACGACAATCAACAGATAAAAGTTTACATTCATAAATCACGACCATTTATGATTTAAGAATGTCTCCTCTTGGATCCTCTCTCATCTTAAATTAAGGAAAAATTTGTAGAATTTCAAATGAAATGTCGACAAACCCAACGAAGTTTTTTTTTTTTCCAAAAGAAAAAAACAATTTCAAAGTATAAATTCCTATGTATTCTTACTTTTTGATAATAAATTAGCTTGTACGTGAGAACTGAAGATTTGGTTTGTTCCTCAAATGCTCAAAACCTTTCAGTTTTTACAATTATTAACATTGTGGGATATTCCATTCAAAGTTTCGCTAACGTACCACCAAATGTATAGTGAACAAGTTACCCCAAGTTTCGTGGGAAGCATGTAAACACACACACACACCCACACAAAACTCAATTGAGAAGCTATGTATCAAATGAATTTCCCTTTTCCCTCAAAATCCTCTCATCATTGTTAAGATCACAGGTCTCAGACAGGATTACAAATACATTAAAAAAAAAAAAAAGGACAACAACATAATCCGGTGAGCATTGAAATTTGAAAGATTAATTAATTAAACAAGCATATCATGTAAGGAAGGAACAACCCCTTCACTTCTAAAGCCACTCCTTCCTGATGTCAAATGTGTAGTTGATCTCCAAGTAGCACTTGTTGTCATCATCAATAAACTGCATTCCGCAAAAGAAAGAAGTTTCTCAGAAATTTGAATTTCAAACATTGGGTTTCTTTCAGAACATGAACTATGTTGTTGAAAACATTTATTGGTATTTATTGATGAAGAAGAGGCATTAAAAACTCATGCTTGCTTGGCTTCCCAGACAAAGTCAGCATCAGCATGGACCCAAGTAATGGAGCTCAAGATTGGTACTTCTGAAGTCATAGTAATTGTCGATTACATTTCTTGTTCTCAAGGTAGGTGCAAAGAGTAAATAAAAAGAAACTCATGAAAGTAACTGTGTCAGTCACCAGGGTCGCTCATCCACTCCATTGAAATTACCTTGCCTCCCTAAGAGGTTTTCGTTAGATTATAAAGTGGAATCAAACATGCTCTTTAGGATATTAAAAACGACCATTTTCATGCTTCCTTAAGAAATCATGTTGTCTATGATTTAAAGTGCTTAATCTTTGACGTTACCTTACTTCTTGCCGAATAGGTTCCTCTAGCAAACATCCCAGAAGGTGTTGTCTCTTCATGCATCTCATGAGTGTAAGGCTCTGCCTGGGGACTGAAGGTTCCTATCATCTCCTTAGTGCTGTCAACTGTAACAAGGTTCAATAATGAGAAATCTAATCATAAGTTAATAATCATCAATATATTACTGTTACTTTATTGTTCTGCAGTAGTTGTGGCTTCTTTTGTTTTTAGTTTTTTAAATACTCAACAGTCTATTGAAGCTAGTACATCGCAGGGGTAATATGCTAGTTGTATAAACTTGACATGTTCATACACTTATTCATGACTGACACAGTTCACTGCTTGTCATGATTTGAGTGAGAGAGGTAAAGCTTACCCTTGATACCGGTCTTCCACACTGTGTTGGTGTACTTGAGACCCGAAACAATGTTATTGTTGACCTGGAAAGTGAAAACCAGCCTGTAATGGCTACCTTCTTTCAAAGTAAACCACAAGCCCTTGGGATTTCCATTCTCTGGGATTGGAAGAACAATATCAGGTCTACCGGTGGACTTGATTGCAAGGCTCAGGATCTTCACTTCTGGGTCAAGAGTTTCTGAAAGTACCCAGAAAACATTGAAAACAGAGGTCAAGAACTGTTCTAGAGTTGTTTGAAACAAAACAAAGGAATCATTTCTACATGGTTTATTGAGTTAATTGCTTGCTGCCGTTCACAAAATGAAGTGATTATCATCAATCGTCTGGGTTCAAAACTCCAAGGAAAACCATCAGAAACAGCAGATTTAACATGGAAAACCAACAATATCCGGTCCTGAATCTGTTCGAAATTGCCAGAAAACTATAAAATCTGAACAGCAACAAACTGAAAACGGAACTGAAATATAAAGAGGTCTCAAAAGGAAAACTGTGTTTTGTCTCAAGGCTACATCTAAATCACTGGATGTCTTACTACAAGAAGCTTATGGTATGATGATTGCAGAAAGATGATTCAAAAACTTCCCATATTACTCCTTGACAAAATCTGCTTATCACTAATTTCGCAGCCATCTGAGAAGACACGTGTTAATATCATTCACAGCAGTATATCACAAAAAGAACAGAGACGGAACAATTTTACTCAGAACCACCAAAACAGAATTATATACAATCTTGAGGTACCAATCAGACTTTAAAAGGAAGCAATTCAGTGATGTGCAATTACCACCAACAGAAGTTATGTCCACACTTCCAAGAAGCTGTTCCTTCCACCTCCTTAAGCTCTCATCATCCTGAAACCTCAAGCAGAAAACAAGACATAAATGAGCAGCCGAAGATATATAGAATTCCTCAAATGACCAAAAAACAAAAAAGGGATAAAAACCAACCTTATCTTTCTCAAGCTGTTCTTTCAATGAACATTGGGGCCCCAATTCGATTTGGCTCTCCTCCTCCTCGTCCTCATCCTCGGTCAAAGCAACGGAGCTTTCACTTCTGCGTATACCTGTAACCACCCTTTCTTCGTCGCCACTTTCATCATCCCTCGCCGTTTTAGCCGTGTTGGGCGTTTCTGGAACCTCATTGCCTTTTTCATCGAAACCCATGTTCTCAAAATTCGAAACAACCGCACCCAATAGCCAAAAGACGTCAAAATCGAAGGCCCATCAAAAGTGGCGAAGAAACCCTCCAAGTGGTTATGGAGGTGGAGGCTTCAGACTCACACTGAATATAAAAGAGAAGAGGAGATAAAGACAAGGTGCAAAAGGTAGGAACCCAAAGAGAAACCAGAAACCCCACTTGGTAGAATCTTCCTCCCAAAGTGTATAACGAAGAAAGACAAGACCTTGAGTTGAAGAGAAAGAAATGGAGTCAAAGAATCACATAAAGGTAAAAGAAATAGAATAGAAAAATGGGATAGCTCAGGTTCACGTAGTAGGATAACTTGCAGAGAAGAAAATACGCCAAGAAGGCGAAGAGGAGCGGATAGACAAAGAAGGGACGGGGATATTTTGGGGAATGTGTCAAGATGTCAGACTGGAGAGAACTTGGTGAGGCCACATTCAGACAAGTTCAATTGAGAAATATAGCGAGGACGAAGAGATCGCGAGGGTCAATCGTCGAGCACTAGCTTCCACGAACTCCAAGATTTGAGGCAAGCTTTCCCATAATTCAATTTGTTTTTTTTGGATACATTTTTCCCCATTCTTCATAGGATAAGTTTGGAAGATCACCACGGAAGAAAAAGAAAAGTACGTTAGAAAAAGGGAGATTTATTATTATATTATTATGCTGTCAAAATAAAGTAAGAAAAATTATAATCAAATCCCACGTAATAGAAATAATTACTAAAAAGTCTCAATAACAACTTAAATAGCCTATAATAACACGTCTTATAGTAGAAATGATAATTTTTTAGACTTGTTTTTTTTTATTTTTTGGATCTCATTATAATTCTTCCAATAAAATAATACTTTTTAGCAGTTTTATAAATACTATTTTTTTTTCATACTCAAATGTGCCTAGTAAAATTTAGAAACATGAAATATTATACTGGTCATCGACTTTTCGAAATAATTCGGCTCTGTTCTTTTATCCCACGAATCATTCAACACCAAATTAAAAGTTTAAGTTGAACCATTATCTACCTACTTGATGAAGTATTCCTCCTATCTAAATATAAAACTCACATTGTACTGTAAACTACAAAGTGAGTCCTATATTTAGAACTAGAGGAGTACTAAGTTTAGCATGTAGATTTAATAGAATGTTTAATTTAATATTCAAGAAAAACAATGCCACTCTGTTTTTTTTAAAAAAATTATTCAAAACATTTTGACAAATTGAAAGAGAAGTTAGTATAATGCATTAGTATTTACATTTTATTGAGTTCATGAGTTAATTTTCTTTCAATCCATAGTATATACTCCTATTGTGCTATTTAAATTGCTTCCAATATATTTCACATAAATTAAGAAAAATCTTAAATTTAATTAACTTTCATTTAAAATTTAACAATTGTTTAACTTTATTTATATTTAATATGTATTATACCTCATGTAAACAAATTCAACATAATAATAAATAAGATATAAAATTATATATCTATATAAAAAATTTCTCTCAATACTCTGTAAATAAAGCCAATAAATATTTTCTTTCTCTATTTTATAAATAGGACTAAAAGGATAGTAATTAGTACTTAATACTATAGAAATACATATATCCATAGAAATAATTTAAAAAAATTAATAAATATAAAAAATAAGTCTTATATTTAGAATTAAAATCAACTTAATAATTAAATTTTATATTAAAAATAAGAGGAGTAATACATTAAATTACTTTTCTTGTGAAGTAGGGTTTTGAGGGGGTACAAAAAGTCAGAGACAATATTATTACCGGGAAGACACGTACTTTAGTGTCACGGTTGCACAGAAACACACAACACCAGAGACAACCCAACCTAAGATTAGGGCCACTTGGAGGGTTGGGTGGCACAAAAGTTGGGTCTCGTGACTTTCTGCGAGGATCAGCACTAAGATGTAATGCACCAACGACAAAAATAGAATATTTTTTCACCCTTAATACAAGTGACTTATGAAATTTATTAAATAAATGTACTTCCTCCTTTGACCCAAAAAAATGTATTTGTTCTTATCTCACACACATGCACAAGTTATAATTTTGGAGATATGGTGAGTTTTTTTTTTTAATAATTGTTTCTAGAATTTATCTTATAATAAGGGCTAGGAAAAGTAACAATGTGACTTAATAAAACATTTATAAAATATATAAAGATTTAAATATGTGCCATGCATTGACATTTAAGTTGACAGTCGAATCTTAATGTTCATACAAAATCTACATGAAATAATTTTACCGGTATTTTTCAAAAAAGAAATGTTAATCAACTCCAAATAGCAGCAGGATTGTCCAATGTCGACTGATTTTTGGGGGGGGGGAAAACTGTTGATATGAATTATGATTCGTCTAGAAAACGGTGGCATTTAAAGGAAGTCATTTTGATTGGCCCCCACCAAAATTGAAGTAGGTGAAAGGAGGGGAGGAAAATTAATGAAAATGGATGTGGGAATATTGATAAATCAAAAGAAATAAAATGAAAGTTACTCAACCGACATTCATTGATTGATTCTAGCACAAGGGACCAAATTCAACTTTAATGTGTGTGATTGTAGAAGACATATATTTTGGAAAGCTACTCTCCAAGGGCTTGATTGGATCCAAGATTCACTAGGATTTAACACAAAGTTCAAATATGGGGTGGTTTGCTTTGCAAAAGAGAGAAAAGAAAGTGGTTGGAGGAATAAAAGATGAAATAATTGACAGAATGTAATGTAGAGCACAACGTGCACTTGGCTGTTATCCATCTCCCCATTTTGTATATTCTTCTTTCGGTATCATCACATCACACCACGTCTCCTATTAAACAAGTCACTCATAATATTAATAGAAGATCTCTAATATCAAAACAAGATCTCTTAAAAGTGTCACTTTTAAAATTATCATTAATGCTTGTTAAAATAAAATGATTATTGCCAACCCAAAATGCAAACCTATCAGCATATATTATCCTCTTTTACTGGGCAAAATTGGTGTCTTGTGTTGCTTTTGCCAGACAACTTCTTAAATGCCTGTAGCTAATAACATGCTCATATGCGAATACTTGATGCAATAATTAACGTAAACAATTTTAATTCTCATGAGAACTTGTAATACTCTCTCCCGGTAAAGATTAAACAAAAGAATAACCATTTCGCGGGGTGGCCAATATTTTTCATATAAACCAAATGCAAAAACAGGAGGAGGATCCTAGAGAAAACCATAAAAAAAAAAAAAAAAAACAACCACTGATGACCTGGAATTATAAAAATTGAATCGAACTTTCAACCTCTCACGTAGAAATTTTCATGTTTCTAAACTACGAGAATACTGACAAGCACTTTATCCCTAAACTTGTTGAGTCAGGATCTGCCATGAGTCTTGCAGGCCTATTTTAATGTCAGGAATTATGAGAACTTCCAAACGCGTTTGGAACGTCACAACGTACGGCGGCAACAATCAGGGTAAAAAACAAAATTGTAAGCCAATCAACAAACGTGGCTTTAGGGGTTGACTAACATGAGCAATTTTCTTCACTAGTAAATCGAAAAAGGCCAATGAGGGAAGGGAAAAACAAGCAAAGTCAAATCAAAAGCATGCAAATGTCAACTTTCAAGACAGCTAAGAGATATTCAGTATTTGGGGTTCCCTGCGTGGCCCGTTGCTGGATCGTGACAGCCATATCCCATAAAGGCACCTATGTGTCAATTTATAATGCCACACAGCTCACATGATTGTGATATGTAGAGCCAAATCGATGCATTTGAATTTTGAATGACCCACCCACTCACCCTCATGAACCTATTTATTTCCAATAAATATGGCCACCAGACCAAACTCGGAACGCAAATGCAACTTCCGCATGTTTGTCATATGATTACTTGTGCTGACTGGGCTGCCTCAATTTAACAGACAGACATATCGTTGGGCTTTGTCAAGCTTTGCTTGAAACCGTAATCCGGCTCTAGCCCAGAAATTATGGTCCTAACAATTCGTTCCAAAAACCTGTTCATCAAATTGGGAAGCCCATGATCTACAGAAACTCCACATCATCGCCAGCCATAGAAACTTCAATCCAATAATATGACATTCAGTATTTAAGTATCAAGCATGTCCTAAACCCTAGATGCAAGCTTGTGAATATAGTTAGATGCATCAGCACAATGTTGAACTGGGACAGCTCGTTCGGACAGAAATGGCGGAGAAAACAAAATTTACCTCTTACCAAGATGGGAAAAAAATACAGTTGAGCTGAAACAACAATTGCCGCAATGTGATTTGCATACAGAAAGAAATAATCTCAACCCTGTCACAAACTTTAGTTTTTAGTCACTACCCCATTTCCTTACAACATTCTCTTTAGCTGAAGGGCGTTGATAATCTTCCTTCTTCAAAATGCCATCAAAGTTGCTCTGATTACCACCGCTAGTAATTTTCAAGATTCTCGATGTTATGAAACTGAACCCATTTCTTGTTCCTCGCAGTGCATAGAGCAGTGGATTTAAGATGACGGCTAGGAGCAGCTCACCTTTTGCAACTATGAGATACTGAAAAAGCAGATAGGAAAGACTTTTCATTCCAAAATATAGCTATGGCTGCTATGACATAAGAATTGAAAGGGGAACGAGAAATCTCTTACAATGAGAATGATTCCTAGCACAGTAAGACTTGCTTGTTTGGCTTCTTGCCAAAAGTTGTCATCATTAGACCAGCCAAACCATCCAACCCTCCCAAACCAACCTCCTCCACCGGCATCACCTCCACCCCCCAGCTCCTCTCGTCTTTTTATTTCTTTGTTCCACTTCTCAAATTCATTTTTCTTCCCACTAAGTGCACCTTCTAATGCTTTTCTAGCTTCTTCCTGCAGAAAAAAGTACTAAGATTAATATAAATTCACTTACCAACAAGCACTTTTTCTGGTCACCTCTGTTACCAACAAACATTAATTCGCTTATTTGATAGGGATTAGCAGTCCTTTAAATTTGATTTTCATTCCTTCAGGGTTATTTTGATACTAAACAGGAATTAGAGTTTTACATATATTTAAATAAACCATTATAAAAAATTCCGTCAATAGATTTTACCGATTGGAGAACACAAATGTCAATTGGACTGTGGATATTAATGGCAATACTCACAGCAAACGCAAATTTTTCAGTATCCTGGCCAAAAATAATTTTCAGTATAAATTTCACATGCATAGATAAAGCCCCGATACTTTGGGTGCAAGGTGAGGACAATCTTTCTCCTTCACAAACAACACAGCACGATTCAATTATACATAATTTACATTCAAGTTTGTTTTTCATATGTAACCGCATTAGATGAAGATTGTTAGCACCCTGAATTAAGCTATGAACATAACCAGCTTACCAACTAAAGCCATCTAAAATGTTAGACATGAAGAAAAAAAAGGAACTGTAACTCAGCACTACATTTAGAATTTATCATGACATCTAATGTTGAGCGACGAAGAATTTCATGTTTTATAGAAATTCAGTGGCAAGGGTACTACTACCACATAATTTAGCCACATACAAATTGCTCCGCAATGGAGATAATGTTAAGCCTATGAACATATTAATCACATTACATAACATATTAATGAATTGTAAGTATGGCATTTCGGATTTTGTTGGCTCTGACATTTGTCCGACTTAGGCGTTGAATATATCAACTCATGTGAATTGGCCAAGGTAGGATGCTGACTATGCTTATTAACTTTCAATTCAAGTAATTCTATGTAAATTCTTGGGACCAGCAAAATCAAGGAAATATCAACATGGATATGTTTGAAACTTCCTTTGCAGGAAAGCAAGAGTCAATTGAAGCTCTCCCCCATGTGATGTTTAGGTTGAGAAAGGATATGTAAACACTACATTGCAGCTGGTGATGGAGACCCCAATTACTTGAGCACTAATATCCTAATATTCCCAGTACAGAAACAATAACGTCGGAAGTCAAAAGTCTAATCGAGGCTTTGGTTTTGGACTCAAGACATTTACAAATTAATCGTTACCACAAGGAAAGCTTGCGATAGAGAGAAAATTTTCTCCTAAAGAACAAACCCCAGAGGTTCACTTAGGTGATTTGCTCACAATAAGTCATTAGCGCAGAGTATCATCCCATATAGTGAAAAAAAAAAAAAAAGGGAACAAAAAGAAAAACTGGCGGCCCCAAAAATAAGGATTTACAGCTTTCGTTGGACACTAAACAAAGCTCTTTTTGTATATTTCAAACCGTTCAGCAATCCGTAATAGTGTGATACTAAATTAATTTCACCAGCCAAACACCCCCCTCCAAAAAAAAACAACAAGAGAAAAAAAAATTAGAACGAAATTCCATTGATAAAAATCACAATTAACAAGCAACCCCAAACAGGAATTTCCGGGGAGTAGGACTAGGACATCGTATAGCGAAATTCATCACTTGTATCAGTCAATGAGAATACATGTGCAATTACCTCTCTCTTGTTGTCGGAGAAGAGGCAAAGGAATCTGCCCTTGCACAGGAGAGTGCGCTGCAGAGAACTCCAGCTTTGGTGAGTAGAACAAGAAGAGTCTGAAGAAAGCAAGAACGATTTGCTTTTACTTGGCACTGGCGGGCTTAGGTTTAGAACCTGAGCCATTACTTTCCCTCGCTCCTCACTCCCCGGCCGCACTTGACAGGGCTCCTGGCGGTGTTCCTCTTACAGGATATGGAAAACGAAAAATAGTCTATGCGGTGCGACAGAAATTTGACCGGCTTTTTTGGTAATAAAACCCGGTTCTGTTTTGCTTCCCCACCCACCTTTTGGCCAAATCTGTTATTTTAATATGAAAAATCCAATCTTTACCCTGGACTCGCCTCTTCCAAGTTTTAACTCGAGGAATTCGTGAGGCCTAGTAATCTTTTTTTTCTAAAGTATAAGTATTTTCTAATTAGAAGTAATCTTATTCGAGACACTATTAAATAGTAAATATGAGCACTTCTCCTAACTGGAATTCGAATATTAGTTAGTCACCTTTCTTTAAACTCAATCCTTATTGGTTGAGACCTAATAATCTGGAATTCTAAATCCAGCTGGTTAAGATTTTTTGAGTGGCAAGCTCTAGTAGTGAGCTTTTTTCTTCTTCTTCTTTGTGTAGTATTTGACCTAGACTATATTTCAAGCACAACAACATGTTTATATTAATCCAAATCAAGACATGATAAAAACTATCAAGGTTAACACCCCTAACCCTTTGCAGTGAGCATTTTAGTTGCTACCTTCTTAGTTTGAACTCGAAACATCTGATTAAACTAAAACCTCACTACTATCCAATCTTTACTGTTGCATATGCCCTCCTGTATTTTCTTCTAATCAGGTGGCCAAACCCAAGGCAAGATAGTTATACAAATAGAATTGTCTTAAAATTAAATAATTTTATATTTTTACTCCTAAATTTAAATACAAGTGATTGTATGTGTGAGAAGAATTTTATTGAAAACCGACACGTTACGCAACTTTTCCGAATCTGTAGGAGTATCAGGGTGATTTTGTAGAACGTGACTAATAATTGAAAAACTAAGCTGTAAAAATGATTGAGAAACTTGAAATATATCCATCAAGATTTACTAATTAGCATGAATTTCGTCGAACCATGTTTAGCAAAAATTTTTGAATTCAGATTCAGATTATGTGTGCATGTATACCAAGAAGTTTATGTGTTGGGTAAAGTTATCTCAAGAGCAATTTTTTTTTTTCTATGCACACATTTTGCTTAAATGAATTAATATAGTTGAACCCGTTATCAACCACAGTTGGTGTATATGTTCACTTTATATCATATATATTATATTTAAATTATTTATATTTCTTTGGTAGACATAAAAAAAAATACTGTACATATATTGATGAACCAATTTCTTCTATTTTTTAACAACTAAAAATATATATATAAAGACCTACAAATGAGTGACTAGGGCTTATGACTTAATTTTAGGACGAGTTTGAAGGAGGGGATTCTCGAGAGGAAAAAGAGGGCAGTGATGGATGAAAGAGCAATGACAATGCTTAAGATCTTCTTGGACCTGTCCTCTGACTCCCACGCCATGAATGATCCTATGCACTCTCTCAATCCTTCAAGGCTTGCCATTATTTTCTGCATCTCACGAACAGAGGCTCACCATTATTATCACAGTGTGAAAATGAATCATCTAAATCAATTTCAGTGTTATTCTATCTAAAAAGTTTCAACCTTCATTCCATATTTAATTTTAGACATAATAACTAATTAAAAATCCTTGGAAGCATTGAGAGTACTACATCTGGTTGTTGATATAAAACCCAGTTGATTAAAGTACTTATATTTATCGCTTTTGTCAAATTAATTTGTCTCACTTATAAATTGATATATAATCTTGTAATACATGAACATATTTTAGAAAGATTATGTAACATATACTATAATTAAATAATTTTTTTGAATCTTCTCAAATTAGTCAATTTAATTTTATATTAAGAATCGGAGGGAATATCAACGTTTTCATTTTCCTTATTGAGCATCTCTTTTAAACATACCAGTCTAAAGGGTAAGAGGTGCAGCAATGGCTTTATGAACGTCTCACTGTTCCTGAGTTGGAAAGGGAAGAAAAAAGGGTGTTATCAACTACAGTATACAATAAAATAGAACAATTCAATAACAAATCATTTTTCTGGGGTCAAATTCCTGTTTTTAATATTGGGATCTATGTAACTAAACATAAAATTCACAGTATATTATTTGCAAATCATAAACAATAAATGCAGGATGAGTCATAATTGAAGATTAGGACCTGATCATGGCTTTCCCCTTGTAGCTGTGGCTGATATAGAAGCCGAAACCCTTGCCGATGGGGAATTGTAGTTCTTCCGATTCTGCATTCACCACCCACTTTTCAAGTAAAATCTCCAACACGCATATCTTTTATTCTAAACCTTTTTTTTTTTTACTAAAGTATAGGTATTTTCTTATTGGAGGTAATTATATTCGAGACACTATCAGACACTAAATGTGGACACCTCTTCCAACAAGGATTCGAACTTTAATTCTTCACGTTGGGAGAAATTAGCTCATTCCACTAAACCCAATCCCTGTTAGTTTCTAAACCCAAATTGATGAATGGCCAACAATAACTGAACGCCCAACAATACTGGATGACTTGTGAGCATGTTTGGTCAGGGAAAAAAAAAGGGTAATATAACTTTTACTCCCTCTGTTCCTTATTATAAGAGACATTTGATGCTTATGGCATGTTCTTATATATAAGAGACACTTAAAAGTTTTCTCTATTTTTTTTTGTTGATTTCCTATTTTATCCATATTTATTGTCTCCAACTCACACTCTCTCTCCTTCCCACTTCTCTTTCTTTGAATAATTTACTATTGTTCTCTCTCATGCTCTCTCTCCTTATTAATGAGGGCCTTTTTGGAAAAAAAAATTATACCTTTTACATATTGATTGTTCTTAACTAATTTTAACTGTTTTTTTATCAATATAATTCGGTTATTCGTCTCTTATAATAAGGAACAAATGGAGTAGTTCTTAAATTTTTTAATTATTTGGTTTAATTTTTAAACTTCAACTTCATGCAACTCAGTTTTTACAATTCACAAAGTTAAGAAATTGTAGGAATCAGAGTGTACCAAATCAATAATTAAGAAAAAGTTCTCCCACCAATAAGATAAAAAAGCAAAGGATGCCCAATATAACGTAATTTTTTTACCTAAATTTTTTTATTTTCTTATTAATTCTACTTGGTTGTGTTTGCTGTATTTATTTATAACTAAAATACATGTTCCCTCACCACATTCCTTGTTCGCATCACCCACTTAGCTATCCAAATCAGTAATTTGTGTGAGTTGCGTGAAAATAAAACAAGAATAACACTGGAAGTATTAAGTATTTTGATTTTAAGTGATTAAATATAAAAATGGAAAGTCAAAATTCCAATAGGACCTGCCTACTAATCGAAAATCACAACAAAATTTCAATTTGATGTTAACATGCAAGGGGAAGGGAAGAGAAGCAAGTACCAAATTTCCACTGGACGCCAATATTGAGCCCATCAGACAAAGTCTCTTTGAAAACAAATTCAATGTTGTCTCCAAACACTTCGATCAGATACGAGAAAAATCCCCACGCTCGCTGCAACACTCTCCCATCATCAAATCATAATTAATTTTCACAAATTTAATATTGATTCAGTCGCTATTCTAATACCCTTCCAGCGGTTAAGATAGAAGTTAATTTGAGAGTTGAGTTGATGTTATATGTAAAACCTATTTTATTTTACATATTTATTGTTTTTTTTCAAATTATCTATTGATAATCTCTCGATAGAATTAAGTAGAAGAATGAGAGGGAAAATTAAAAAAAATAGTTAGAATGTTTTGAGAAAAAAAAAAGTATATCATAATTTAACTAATATCCTCAATCCATTCAAATTCAAATTAGTTAATTAGATCTTACGTTAAAAACTCGGATATATACCTTTCTTCGCTGGAAGGCCTGCAAGAAGGAAAGGAAACAAGTTACAAAAAGCGGCCATTGATCTGCGAGAAACTCAGATTTTCCGGGTGTGATGAATCTGTGAGTGATTGCAGCGAAGAACTTGAAGAGAGGATCAATGGCTTCATGATCACTATTATCTGCTCCTTCTTCTTCGGATTCTGGTTCTGGGTTCTTATTAGCATCAAAGACATGCCTCCTCTGGGAATAACAACACAAATTTCTATCAACTGGGAATTGACATGATGATGATGACGACGACGGAGAAGAATCATTATAGCGATGCACGGAAAAATGCAGGTTTCTTGATATTCTGGGTCGTAGCTTTCTGGGCAGACAAATAATATTATTGCTGGAAGAATAGAGGTCGCATTTGTTGAGAGAGAAGAATTGGGAAAATATGGCTCTTCTATTCAACTTTGCTTGGGAAATATTGAAAGGTGAGGAAGCCATTGAAGATTGGAATATAATTTCAAAGACGAAACAAATGCTGTTTGATGATTTCCATATTGGCGTATATTGATCCAGGCCCAGAAAAATCCATTAATTGACATCAAAGCTAGGTATCTTTGGATCAAGTCATATACGAAATACTACTTCGCCATTGCAGTTGCGTCTATTGCTGTAGAGACTCTCTCCCCAAGCATACCAAAACATCATATTGCTTAATTTTTACTATTGGAAGACCTAGTTTATGCATTTACTAATCATGTTCGAGATTACTACATTGTTGGTCATGAACTCAATAAAAGCTTAAAGCAACTAGTCTTTGACAAGTGAGCTTTCATCTAAATCGAAATATTTATAATTGAACTTTTACTGTATTTGAAAATTTATAAAAATTTTCATAATTTATAACTTGTAATAATAGTTAACTAATTTAAAAAGATTAAGAATTAAGAAAATTAGTTAAATTAATTATTTGTAATACATATGTTTTTTTTAGAATATCCTTGCTAATCATATGTATCAACTAGAACTACTATTTGATAGATTATTTAACATATGTAATTGCTATAAAGACTACTTTAAAAAAAAATACATAAATACAAAAGACAAAGTGAAGTCTTATATTTAGAACTAAATTAAAAGTTAAATTAATTCTTATATTAGAGATCGGAAGTAGTATTAATAATTTACTCTTTTTAAAAATAAAACTTTGTCGTTCTCTATGAATAATGAATTTTCTTTTACGCCCAAATATTAAAAACAAAATAATATCGCGGAGAAAATGAATTGATTTTATAACCCCTACAAAATACACTCTCCTCCGGCAGCAGCACTAGATTCTGTTTTTGTGCGGCATTCCACGCCTGCTCGAGCTCGCCGTAGGACGCCGTCCGTCGTTGTCAGCCCCGCGTGGTGATCTCCGTCAAGTATTGAAAAAAGGTACGAACTTTGTCTTCTCATAAAATCTGGTGAGATTGATTAGCTCAATCTGGCTTTGAATCCAGATTTGGATTTGTTCCCTGCGTCGTCTTTTCATTGTCAACCCTGTGTTGGACGCCGTCGCACCGTTTCGTGCTTTGTTTTAATTTTGTTCATTTTAATTAATTGGGAGGTCAAATGGCAAGAGTGTTATCAACCTATCATTGTCATTCTTCAGTGGCTTGAAGGAGTTGCCTGAATCAATTGGGTTACTAGGGCATCTTCGTTAAAGTATCCCGAACAGAAATTAAAAGGTTATCATATCAACTATGCATATTTCAAAGATTTCAGTGAGGGCAGATGCCTCCGGTGATTGTAATATGGGTCGGCCTATGCTTCCGTGGGTGCTTATTGCAGCGTAATGAGCTTGATATGGGAGGTCATGAGGTAGAGTGGGAGGGAATTGAAAAGGGGCAGTTAAGGGAGCAATTTGAGGGTTTAAGGTTATCAGGTTGATCTATTCAGTGAACGATTTTATGTGGTTGTGATAATGTCAGTAGCTTTAAATTTTGTGTTGGAAGGATATACAGAAATACCCCTCTCAAATTTTGAGGGCTTTCTGCTATCTTGGATCCCTTATTGCCATCCCTGCATAGTCTGTCTATCATGTCGCTTTCTTGATACCTGGCTAATTGTTCCAAGTTTTGATGATTCCTTTGGTGATACTGATTTATTTAAGAGGATAAAAGGTTTATTTGGCTTGCATTTTAATCACTGTGTATATTCTATCAAAATTGCTAATTTGAATGGGCACTTTGCTGGGTTTTCAATATTTGAGATCAATACCCTGTTTGAAGTTCAGATCCCGAGGTTCTTATTATCATATTGAGTTTTGGTCCCCATTCCTTTACAGATACCTGGTAGTAGAACGGATTTGGCTCATAGATGTTAGATTCTTGGATTTGGTAGTGTGTACTTATGCATGCATTGAATTTTGGATTTAGAATTCGTTAGTTATTTTGAGAGCAAATATCCATCAAGTTCCCCTTGATGAGGTGAATCTGTGGTTGTAAATTGGCGCTGCAGAGTGCTGAAAGGTATTTTCATGGTTTTTGCTTTTTACGGCCAAGCTTGAGAAAACTGCATTTCAAGGCTATCTTCAAAGTTTTTTTTCCCTTTTTTTTGGTGGGGGGGGGGGTAATTCTAACTTGTGAATTTATTGTTTTCCAAAATTTTTGAAATTAATTACTGTATTTTGCTCCTGCATGGAGCTGTAAGCGTCTGGTGCATGACATACATATTTGCTTGCCAGGTTTTAGGACTATGGCGGAAGATCTTGTGCTAGACACTGCTATAAGAGATTGGGTACTGATCCCTCTCTCAGTTGTTATGGTCCTCATTGGTGTTCTCCGCTATTTTGTTTCTAAACTTATGCGCTCTTCTCAAACCCCAGATGCTAAAATGGTGAAAGAAGGGTATTTTTAATTCCTTATCCAATTGTTCATTATATGTTAGGGATTTTCTGAGTTTGATGAGGTTGTTTTTTGTGCTGATGATAATCCAGACAAGTTGTTCTTAGAGCTCGGAATTTACGTGCTGCTGCTAATTTTATACCTTCAAAGGCTTTTCGGGCACGCAAGATTTATTTCTGCAATGAGGTTTGTTTGTCTGTCCTGTATGTTCTTTTCTTGAAAATTTTGTTCGTGTTTCTTGATTTGGATTTCTTGAAGAGTTGAAGTTTTTGTTGTTATTATGGGTGATGACTTATTCAGGATTTTGGGGTTAATTAGTTGTTGCCTAAAGCTCTTGTGAGATTTCTTGTCCTGGCTTATGTTCTTGTATTCAGACCTGGCTTTGGCTGGATTATATACTCAGCTGTGGAATATCTTTGAATTTGTCATTTTTAATCCCACGAGTGAGAAGTTAACGAGTCTGCTGAGTTTTATAAAGTCTTAAATAACAAAATCCAGTTAAAAGATGAATTAAGATTGTGTTTATCTTTCTTGAAGGAAAATGGTCTCTTGTTTGTTCCCAAGGGCCAAGCCCAGAATCCACAAGCACAGATGTTCTCTGATCCGAACATGGCTATGGATATGATGAAGAAAAATCTTTCAATGATCATACCTCAGGTATTGAAATCTACACCTTCAACATTCATTGGTGTAGAATCTTAGATCATACTCACATTTTACTGTAGTTTAAGCTATGATGCAAAGATTTAATTGTTAATTGATTATATGCTTTCCCTTTGTTTTACAGACTCTTACTTTTGCTTGGGTGAACTTTTTCTTTTCTGGATTTGTAGCAGGTATCTTTTATTAAATTACCTCTCCTTTGATCCTGGATGATTGTTGTGATTTCTTGATTTTATGGACTATGAGCTCATACTCTTCATGGCATTATATATCAGGATGTTAGCAAGCTAATTTATTCTGTTAATAATTAAAGGGATAGTCTTTACTCTTTTAGTTTGTATAATACGGCACCAATGCTTTATTTTTATTTTTTTTCCTGACATTTTATAGTAACATCTCCTAAATCACGTTATTGGTTCTGCATTTCCTAATTTTAATGCCTGCCGCGGTTAATGTTCAAAAGTTCAGGTAGTGTTTTCACTTTATAAGTGATTGAACGAATCTATTTATTTCCTGCAGCCAAGATACCCTTCCCATTGACTCAGAGGTTTAGGTCAATGTTGCAGAATGGGATTGACTTAAGCACAGTGGATGTTAGCTATGTCAGTAGTCGCTCTTGGTAATCCTCATTTTTATAGAATTTATTTTTACTTCATGAGTCTTTAGTTGTTCCCCTCCAACCTTGTTTAATTATCATTATTTTGGCGTTTCAGGTACTTCCTGAATCTGTTTGGGCTAAGAGGGTTCTTTAGTCTCATCTTGGGGGAAGAAAATGGTTTGTGATGATTTTAAAGCTGTTGTAAACATGAACACGCTCACTTTTAATTAGATCCTGAATTTCATAAATTTTCTATATTCAGCATGTTGCCATTGCTTTTTATGAAGTTTGGGATTTGGATAGACACTTATTAGAGATTATATGATGTTCTGGTTACAGCTGTGGATGATACGCAACGTATGATGCAAATGGGTGGATTTGGTTTTGATCCTTCAAAGGTACCATATTGTGTTCACTGTTGTATTTGCATGTTGTCAAGCCTTGAAGATGATTTCTGTTTTCTTGAAGCTTTGAATTATAGAATAATTGGTTGAAGTGCTGTTAAGCACCCCCTTCAAGAAAAATTCTCTTAATGTGTGAACAATTTCTTCAGGGAGCCTCTTTGGATTATATTTGGATATATACTCGCAATTTCTTAAGAAATTGACACCTTAATTCCAAGATAGATGGTGTGCTAGGCCTATAAAAGAAATGAAGATGTTTGATAATTTAGGGATGCTTGAATTGAATATATATTTATTTGTGGGACTCCTATAACAAAAACGATAAACTAAGCGGAAGGTTCTTTGCTGAGAATTTGGCTTGCTGTAATCTGTCTCAATTTGAGAGCAGTTGAGTTAGGGGAACCGGGAATAAGACAAAATTTAGACACACTCGGAAGGTGTTTTCTCTCAAATTTCTTCTTTGGAAAAAGAAGGGGAGTGATAAGTACGAGGTTTTCTAACAGCCATGATTGATCTTATGGAAAGGTTTCTCGATAATATTCTATTATTGAAAAGCCTGATTGCTGATACCTATAGTGAGCAGAACCATTCTCTCTACTGAAACAGTGGTAAAAGTGTGCATCTGTAAAGTGTGCATCTGTATTTCAAAGGCATCCTATTTTTTACCAGAATTTAAAAGGAGTTCATCATATGGTTAATTTCATTTTGCTCAGGGTCTCAGTGCTGAGAAGGACAATCTTGACATAACCCAGCATGATTGGGCTTTGCCCAATGTTGAGCATCGTGCTGAAGCTGTGTTGAAGAAATTGGTCAGTTGAACAGCTCATGAAACGGGCGGTTTGGTAAATTTGCTTTGTGATCACCAGCACAGGGACGTAGATCATCTTCAGCTGTTGCTGTTGCTGTTGGCCTGTGAAGATGTAGCTGATCAAGTCGAGATCGTAGATTTTATTTCTATGCTGAAACTTGATGATATTTTTAAATATTGATCAGAAAACAAGTTCACAATCTTGTAGAAACCATAACAGAAATTTTCTTCTTGCATTCTACTTTTAGGCTGGTCACGAGAGACTAGTTTCCCATGCAATGTTGGACTCTGAACTCGTTGTAACTTTCGTCTGTTTCCTTAGTTCCTTGAAAAGTTTTGTCTGATATATTATCCTTGAATAGCCCAAAGCCTGAAATTAGAAGCTGTGGAATATCAACCAAACTAGTAAGTAGGTCAATGCCTTATTCGCTAACGAGTTTGATTCTTTGAAATGTGACAATAAAAGGAAAATTGCTCCCGTGGTCTGCAGAAATAGAAGTCACGCATCTACATTTACTAATTCATCTAGTCACTCCTCTATTATTTGTATTCTTCTACGGTTAATGCTATCAAGAGTTAAGCTCTCTTGCCAATTACCATGAAAACTCTGCCCTTGCAACAAGTAATTTTGTTAATCACGACTTGTGTAAAACTGCAGTGAAACGAAGTAGCGCCCAGTCTTATAATGAATAGTGTTCGATAAAAAAATTCAACTTTTGCAGTGGCAGGTAGCAACTGAAAACTGGAAGGCAGTTGAAAGAATTTAGATTCAGTGGAATTGAAGAAATGCAGAGTGCGTACAGTGATGTAAAGAGGGAAGGTGTGTAAAGCACTTAATCATTTATTTACTTTGAGAAAATTTAAACCCATAATCAAGAGCCTTTTAAAAGGTAAACAGCGTCCTCGTTGGTTGTCGGAGCGGGAGTTTCCCTACATGAGAAAAAAGATCTCTAATGCGCAATTCATGAGTTGTGCATCAGAAGATTCTCGTTCTCCTAATACTTTCAAGGGGATTTAAAAAATGAGGAGCAAATGTCCCAAATTCTTTCAAAGAAGACTTACCCAAGCAGAATGCTACTCATGTCAACAGTAAAACTTAAACCTGCTATTATACTACCTCCGGTCCTTAATATAAAACCCCATTTGACTTTTTATTTGGTCTTAATTATAAGACCCCAATCCATTTGTCTCTCATATTTATGTATTTTTTTTCCAAAATAGTCCCTCTAATAATGATAGTTCTAGCCAATACACTTAATTAGCAAGGATATTTTAGGAATGACAACACTTCTTTATTACAAATAACTAACTTAATTTACTTCCTTAATCTCCTCAAATAAATCAATTGGGTCTTATAATTAGGACCGGAGGTAGTATATTATACCGATCGAGCAAGCAAGTGCTTGAGGTAATAACGAGTTCGAACTCTTGACATTTTATCGTTGAGAATAAGTTATATGCCACTAAATCACAAGATTATTAGCAACCCCAAATCTATGGAATTACAATGATATTCTTACTAAGTTACGTGTAATATTATCAATTGGTGAAGATTGAATTGAGGCAGTTAGTTTGGGTGAGGAGGAGAGGGAAGTGAGAGGGTCCCAAAGCCTAACTAAAGTTGGAGAGAGGGGCCCACAATGTTGCCAATTATGGACACAAGAGGGAAGGGGCAATGGGGCAAAAGGGTAATAAAAAGGAAAGTTCCATAAAGATGGACCAAAGGGAAAGGCAAAGGTGTCTCCCAAAAGCAGAGTTCCAGAACCATCCCCTCTGGTTTTAAGGTTCCAACGCAGTTGTACCATTCCCCTTCCTTCCTCTTTCGCTCTTCATAATCCCTTCATCAACATCATATTTCTTTTCAACTATTTTCGATCTATATGTCAAAGTTGGGAATCCAACTCTCAACCATTTGTTTGAAGCACTAATCTGAATTAATATATATATATGTTCAGATGCATGTAATTATCAATATAGATCATTTAATTTGAAGCCTTTCCTTTCTTATACACAGTACACACAGCGTCATTATTCTTTCATGGACTTCAATAATGCAAATCTAGATCCGTCTTTAATTTGAACTTTGCCTTCGTTGCATTGCTTCCTTGAGCCATTTTTTTCAAAAGAAGTCTACATCAACTGCATACGTTCAAATTCCTTGGTCAATTAAATTCAAAAAAAATGATATCCTTTTCTATTAACTTCTTATTAACACCAACTTATCATCATTGAAACAGCCTCTTGTTGTTGTGAAGTCTAAATTTCCCTTTCGTTAGTAATTCTGGATTATGGGTGGTTTTGGTGTCCTCTCAAACCAAAAAAGCAGGCACACCTATATCGTGTTTATGTTTTATTAAAAGAATTGAGGGTAAAGGGTGAAGAAAGGACCATACATAAAGTAACTAGAATAACCTTCTATGCATTGCATTTACGTATATAGTTATTAAAAATTCAGTCCGTATATAAATAAAATTAAGTTTGTAGATTTGAAAGGGAATTAGTACGAATAAACAAGAAATGGTCCACATCACAATGTGCCTTGGCGAAGAAAAATGAGAAAAATTACTTGCCATTTAGAGCGTGCTCATGTTTTTGTAGATACATGAGACGCACATCAACATGCATTCATTTTTAATATAAAAAAAAATTATGATGGGCAATGTAAGCATGATTGCTTGAATTTAAGTTATGATAAGCAGAGAATACACTTTTAAATCAACTAGTGTCGTGAATACTCAGTAATAGTTGAATCTGATTCAATAAATATTAAATGCAGGCACATTTCTTAATTTAATATAAATTATTGAATTCAAACTTTCGTTCTTGTGAAAAATTAGTGCATTTCATTAACCTCAACACTAATAGTCGGTTGATACTTTTTTTTTCCTAATACAAATGTACTCTCCTAACAAAGACAATCATGTTCAAAGCATTATCGAACATGTAAGCATTTCTCTCAACAGAAATTTAAATTTTGATTATCATGTTATGAGTGACTAGTCCTTATATCAAACTTATCATGAAATTGTTGATACAGATAGTGCTTTTTTGACAAGGTATTTATAAACACATTTTACATAGTTAATATAAAACCTTCTTATATACTTACATCGTAATTTGTAAATTACGATTGAAATATGTTTATAAACGGACCCTGGACCCGTACAAGATATTGTGACGAGCGTGAGATGGCGAGAGTTGACCAGAAGGAGGGGGAAAAAGTGAGGTGGCATGTGAGTGGTGCCACGATGGAGATGTGACAGGCCATCCTCATCTTACGTGTTTTCAGTCTAACCAACGTCATTCTTTTGCTGTCCCTTTATTTATTATTATTATTATTTCAATCAAATGAAAATATTCTCTCTCTCTCTCTCTCTCCCCACCTCTCCCGCACACAATGAGATCGCAAGAATCTCCGCCAACCTCTCAATTCACGGGTCCCATATGGGCCGCCAAATTATTGGTCCACCTCATCAATTTATAATTGTATATATATTAAATCAAATATATAAACATGTCATACGTATTTAACTACAAGTTGGCAGATTACGCGAAATTTAAACAAGTAGTCACACTGCTTAGCACTTATCAATAACATCATTAATAAGTACTAACCTTCGTGGTTGCCATTGTGCTCGACAATATCATGCAAACTTGTTACCGTAATGGAACGCACATTTATGATGTATGCTTAATATCCATTTATTTGATATCTCAATTAATTGATCTTAGACGTCCACTTATAATCTTTCTTCTGATTACGTTGAGATCATTCTCTTGATCTTGTTTTATAGCCAAAGAGTCAAATTATTTTTATTCTTCAATCAAAATAGATGCACTTCCTTAAAGATAAGTATTCAATGAACTGATATACAATTTAACATTATACAAGTGTATTTTAAGAGGTTATGTCATATTTATTTTAATTATAACTAATTTATTTGACTTTTTTTTTATCTATTTAAATTAGTTGAGTGATTCTTATATAGTTCTATCAAGCACTCAAATGAGTTATACAGATTTTTGCATAATAGTAATTAATGTCCAACAATTAATTTAGGGTTAAAGTGCAAGTTTACTTGGAAAGTTTTTACTCAAGAATATTGGGTACTGAAAAAGTTTTTTTTTTGGGTGTAAATTTGTTTCAGAAATTTAAAATTTGTAATAATATTTCTCCATACCGTTAGTTAACAGTCAATGTCACTATTTTAACAGTTAATGTTAATTTTTTAACACTAGCTAAAGGATGTCATTGCTATGATTTTAAATTTTCTGAATAAATTTGCACCTAAATAAATTTTTAGGTGCCTAATGCTCCTAAGTGAAAACTTTTAAGACAAATATGAACTTTAAACTTTCTCCATCTCTGTTAATTAGTGAACAAGATTTTATATTTAGAATTAGAATGAAAACTTGACTGGTTGTAATTTCATTGAAGAGCAGGGTAATGAATGGGGCAAGTGAAAATAATAGGACACCAAACTAAACCTAATTGATGAAAAGGAGGAGTGACATATTTATGAAAGGAGGCGCCGCCCCAACTTTTCTTACAACCATGACAAAGAAGCTTTACAGATGTAAATTTGGCCAAAAATAGAACCACACACATGTCTTTATAAGTCCACAAGGCATCTCATTTGATGAAAGCAAATTAAATCAATTTAGTAGTGAATGAACACTGATTAATTAGAATTAAGTCGAGATCAAGACAGAGACGAAACTGAATAAATTAGGATTAGTGCAAGTGGGGGAGTCACTGAAAGAAAGAATACAAGAGCGAAAAGAATTGATGGAGAAATAATAGACTCTGTTCCGATCCATTCTGTGACATTTAAGAACCTTACGTATTCATATATATAATTTAACTTATCTTCTTAACCTTATCTTCCACATCTTCACTACGCAATAATAGAGATCATTACGTAACTGGACGTGAGAATATTATTGCCCCTTGTATATTCAACCAATGGATTTTGGAATCAAACAAAATATGAGTTAAAATCTCGATCTAAGTCGATATTATATGATAAACAAAATTAAAGTTCAACCTATTCAAAATGATTTCAATTAGGACCAGAATTAACCCTTAAGTAATTTCTTATATTTAGGACCGAAGGAGTAATATCAAATACTAAATCATTCACAATTTATAAATGTTGAGTATAGATTATTTTTTTCCCATAAATTGAAAAGAAAAATACTCTTGATGCGATTGTCCTATACAATAATATTTTTTATCAACATAGTTCAAACTAGAAAATCAGAGAACATGTGGCGGGTTGCATTGGAAAACAACATAAGTGCAACAATTGTTTAGCAGGGGCTCATCACTACTTTTAAAATTGAGAAAAAAAATTAAAATTATATCACAAAGCAACAAATTACGAAATCCAATACAGGTTACATATTTTAAATTAATCATACCCAGGGCAATTATTAGTTTGAGTGGTTAAACAATTATTTTTCAAAAAATAAGATTTCAAAGTTCAATATAAGAAACGAATATGTTATTACTAGACGAGTTTTGCATACACATGATCCGACCTTGTATGATTACAATTAGGTAGAACACAATATGACGTCTTAAAACTAATTGACATATAAAAAAAAAGTTTCAAGTAAAATATATTAAACGGCTTTTGATGTTTTGACCTATGTTGATAAATTTGATATGCGCGTAATTAAATACAGAATTTGGTGGCGGGTGAATCTTTAAAGCAGCGGCCAGGCCGAAAAGAAATGGGAATCTGGCGAGGGAAGGGGGCATGGTGATACGATCTGACGTGGCAGATCAGAGGGTCCGGAGTCACGCGAATCAGACGTGGAAAGCTTGCGCATGTGGGGCCATGTGAATGTTTTCTTAAAGGGCGGTGGTCTCTCCCTTTTATTCTACTTTCGGGTGGGCCCCACCCCCGCCTTGTTGAACGGTAATGATCGCACTCGCTGTCTCTCTGCTGGCCCCACTCCACCGTCCCAGTGGGGCCCTTTCCTTGTCGCCTTTGCCGTTGCCTCTCCCCATTTTCAAAACCCACTCCTTCCCCAACCTCAAAATTGGTTAACAGCATTACTCATTCACAGTAAAAGCTGCCATCATTTTTCACCCCAGTAGCCTTTATCTTTACTTCCTTGTAATTATTTAACAATCTCACCTAATATTAAATATATAAGATCTTAATTTATTATGTTTTTTAAATTTATAATATTTTCCAAAACTATTTGATTGCACATTACAGACTTTTTCATGAAATGCAAAAAATTTAAAGAGTGTATTTGAAAAAAAAGACTTTTTCATGAAAGGCAAAAAATTTAAAGAGTGTATTTGAAAAAAAAAAGACTTTTTCATGAAATGCAAAAAATTTAAAGAGTGTATTTGGAAAAAAAAAAAAAGACAACGTAATATCTTCTAATGTCCTTTTGGTCCTTCATATAAAACCTACTATCTTTGGTATTTAATATAAGAGCTCATTGACTAATTTGAGTAGATTAAAAAAATTACTACTACCTTTGGTATTTAATATCTAGTTATTTGTAATAAATAGATATTATATTTTCTAAAATATCCTTGCTAATCAAGTATATTGGCTAAAACTATCATTATTACAAGAACTACTTTGAAAAAAATGAATAAATATGAGAGACAAAACGGATTGAGGTCTTATAACTAGGACTAAAATAAAAATCAAATGAACTCTGTGTTAAGAATCGGAGTAGTATTTAAGTAATTTGATTGGATTAAAAAATTTAGGTGAGTTAATTAGTTATAAAAATATTATATTTTTTTTAAGAAATCATAATCATCTTCTTTAATAACCTGTTTTTTTTTTCTCATTTGATTATGGTTAAGATAATATCAATAGAGGTAATTTAAAAAAATTGATAAATATAATAACTAAGTTTTATATTTAGGACCAAAATTAACTCAATAATTAAATCCTCATAGTAGTATTAGCTAGATACACGAAAGAGTACACCATATAGCCACTTACATTATTACTAGCTAGATTAGAGAAGGCTTGTGTGTGTAAGCAAAGAAAAGTGGTTACAGATTTTACTTCAAAGTAAGTATAATTACATAAAGAAGGATCCAATTGACATTTTCAGGTGCCCAGCTGGCTAACTCTGTTGGTCGGTTCAAGCAGAGCAAGTATGGTAACCAAAATCCAAAGAACATGAACCCATCATCATCAATCACATTACATCCCATGTTGCCCTCTCTAAAAGTTAGATTAGTATGAGAAAAATTTTAATAAGCTCGATTTAAAAAATTTTAAAAATTAAGGTAAAAGTTTTTAACTAATTTTTATTACCCTTTTATATTACTTATTCTTTTTATTAAAATTTTAAAACCCCACTTTTCTAATTTTTTAAATATAACTCATTAAAATTTTTCTTTTTCTTCTTTTCTTTTCATTTCCCTCGTACCAAGCAATACCTAAAACTGTGATCCCCACTGATTCTCCTTGAAACATCCTACTCATTTCATCATCTGCCCCTCCATTGATTGCCTCTCTTTTCTTTCCCAACTTTTATCAAAGATTTCAACTTTTTTATATACCGAACCAAGCTTAAACAATAGCTTGATGATCTGGTCACTGTACATAGTGCGATTTAGAGTGTGTTTTATATTAATAGAATGATGGTTATTTATGTTGTTTTGTGTTTTAATCTAAAGTGTATCGTGAATTAGTCCTAGGGTTAAAAGAACAGTTGCCTTATATCAGTCGTACGATTTCAAGTGATAATTAGCGTCAGCCCATTTTTCGATCTCGTAGATTACAATGGACATTTACAACTGGACAAGGCAGCCAATGTCTTTTAATTTGTGTCAGTGATATGAGGTGTCTGCTTGAAAAAGATTCGTCCAAGTGGCGACTTTCTCTCTCTTCTTTCTCTCTCTCTCTCTTGTGTAGTCGTTATTCAATTATAATTCTACATTCCTAAGCCCTCTATATATACCGCTCTCACTTTGATCATCTCACTCACAACTCACAAACCCATTTCCTCTCTGCCGCCTTCACGCACACACCGCTCACAAACTTTCTTCCTTTCTGCTCTCAGTTGTCACTCTCTCCTTTTTGCTTTCAAAATGGCCAGTGTTGAGGTAATAATATAACTCAAACACACTGTTCATTTCGATCTTTAATTTTTTTCTGGTTTTTGTTCTGTACATTGCGTTACAGTTTAGTCCTCCATGCAGATCATGGTGGAAATATATGAAAACCTACTTATATACTGCACAAAATCTGTGTTTCCGCTTATCCCCTTGGTTTTTTACTTTGGTTCACTAAAATTTCCATAGATCAACAAGATCGCGACGCGTAAATTTGATGTTTTCTCATGATCCATCTGCAAATTACTACTCACTGCGTCCTGAGATGATCGATCACGATATAAATAAATCTCTAAACTACATATCGCTACGTGTATTCACTTATCAACTTTATATATCTTCTTGATCTCTCTCTGTTTGTCATCAAGAACTATAAGCAGTTCATATATTACTGTATGGATCGACGATTCCTCTTTCTATAGCTCGATCTCCAGGTTTATGCGATTCAGAGTGATCACCTTGATCACTAAGTCTCATAGCTTTCTTGATCATAAATAGGATGCTTCAACAGGTAACTCCCCCCCCCCCCAATTTAACGTTCTTATGAGTATGGATCGAAGTCCAAAAAGTCAAATCGATCACCTCAAATATATTTGCTGCCAGAGTGAACTATTATCAACGATCTCATTCGATCTTCCTTCTGCTCTTCTAGATTCATAATCACACGTAGCATCCAATGGACAGATCGTCGATCAATCTCTTACTTCAACCCTTGTTTCCTTTTTCTGTTCTTGATATGTGAACAACGATCATATATTTGTATATTTAGCCTCAACACACAAGTTCTCTGTCAAAAATATGCCAATCTAACAAGGATCGGCTCAATGATCAACAAGATCTGGTGCTCTTAGTTCACTGTTTATTGTAGTTAGAACAACCTTTTTGCGTGCTAAAGTTTCATCGGACTCATAAAAAAGAATATATGCTAGAATACTCTGTGAAATGAATATGGATCTTGCAGGTTGCCCAGGCTCCAGCAGTGACAGAGAATGAAGCAACCGAGGTAACCAAGGTGGAGGAGACAACCCCAGAACAAGCTCCAGCAGCCACCGAGGCTGCTGTCCCAGCAGAACCAGAGAAGACAGAACAACCAAAGGACGAGGAAATCACAGAAGCACCAAAAGAAGCAGAAGCAAAAACAGAAGAGTCTGCAGAAACCAAGGTGCCAGTTGAAGCTGAGACCAAGGAAGTTACACAGGAAGAAGCAAAGGAGGAAGCCAAGCCCACAGAAGCTGCACAAGAGGAAGCCAAGCCAGCTGAGAAAACAGAGGAAGTGAAGAAGGAAGAGACCGAAAAAGCCGAGGAAGTTAAGGAAACTCCTAAAACAGAGGAATCAGCAGCAGCAGCAGAACCAGAAGCACCAAAAAGAAGTGAAGGCCGAAGCTACTGTGGAGAAGAAAGAAGAAGAAAAGGAGGAAGCAGCCAAAGAAGTCACTGTTGAGAAGACTGAAGCTTGAAGAGCCAAACAAGTCACTTTCTTTTTGTTTTTGCATGTCAATGTTGAAAAGCCTTTCTGCTTAATTTGCTAGTTTATTATTTTACTACTATTTTGCTATTCAGGTGGCTGGTGGTGAAGGTTAAGTATTCTAGATGGGGCTTAAATTTTATTATATTTTTAAAAAAATGGAGGAACAGTATGCCTACGTGTAAGCACATGGCTCCACGTCAGCAGATATATACGGTTGCCATGTGTTAGGGTATGACTACGTGATTCTAAGGGTTTTGTATTGAAGTGAGGTGGCTATTACTACTACTAGAGTTTGTGGATGATGGTGTGTTTATCTGGCATTTGAATAAATCATAATTTTATTATTTTTATTTTTGCACATTATGAATCTTTCTTTAATTTCCCCGCTTGATTTGCTTGCTCCAGCTGCTCTCCAAAGAAACTTTTTTTTAGGTTGGAAAGTCATTACATATCAACTTTAGTCCTGAAAAGGCTACAAATAGTGTTCGTAACCAACAATTTAAGGTGGACATTGATGGAAATGGAAGAATTTTCAATGACATGGACCGTCTTGGTTCCCATAAATTCTAAGGCTCAACAACCATAGTTCATAATAAAAGTCTACTGATTAGTGGGTGTTTGGGTAATTAATATTGCATTTTTAAAGGGTTGATGCCATCTTTGAAACCGTGTTTAAAGGGCCAAAACACCATTTTAAGGATAAGTAGACCAATGAAGTCAAATTTTATAAACAAAAATCAATGATTTCAGATTTCAGAGATTAAAATTAAAATAAAATCAAATTTCAGATACTAAAGATATTATTAGTTCTTTTTAGAATAATTATTTAAAAATTTTCATTTTTTCTTCAAGTAGATTTGATATGCAAGTGAAGAGGGGGAAAAAAAACAGAATAGAACGAACAAGCTGATGGTTGAGTTGATAAGCAGCTTTATCCTTATAAGGAAAAAAATATAAATTCAAACCCCCGAAAAGCATACTTGGTAGGAGAACTTTGACTTTAAATGCTCTCAATCTGACTAGGATTAATCTCAAATTTAAAACAACTTTAAAATATTTTGAATTTTAATAGAAAAAAGAGAATAGAATGGTGGACAAATGAGACCCACCAAAACCTTTAATCTCTTTCTCTTATATATTGCATTGCACCTGAAAAGAATCATCTGCCACAACATTTTGCTCATTTAGATAAACATACATTTAGGCTTTTGTAAGCGGTTGTACAAACATATTAGAGTGTGGGCATAATGAGTCGAAGTGGTCCATTAATTCAAATTGCCTTGAGATTTGCTTTTTGAACATGCGTGTACTATATATCCAAACTCCCATAACAAGGTATAATATTTATATTATGTACTTGGTACGCATTTTATGTAATTTTTAATTGAAATTATTATTTTAATTTCAATTATTTTAAAATGTAAAAGAAATTAATCTATTGAAATCAAATGCGAACAATCCCTCCTTACCAAAAAAATACGAACAATTCATAATTCATTGTCTATAAACACTGAAAATTGCACATGCATGTTGCTGGGTTATATTCGAGTGCGGTATGTGTTGATGATGTTGACATAAGACTTTGTTTCATTTTGACTCCCGTATTTTTGTTTCCCTAGGTTATTTTATCTAATTTATAATTAAATTAATATATAATTTAATTTTATATAAATATATTTTAGAGGGATTATATCATACTACTTCCAGTCCTAATTATAAGAGTCAGTTGACTAATTTAAAAAGATTAAGAAAATAAGTTAAGTTAGTTATTTGTAATAAATAGGTGTTGTCTTTCCTAAAATATCCTACTAATCAAGTGTGTTGGCTAAAACTACAATTATTATAAGGACTATTTTAGAAAAAATTGAATAAATATAAGAAACAAAATGGATTGGGGTCTTATATTTAGGATCAAAATAAAAATCAGACGAGGTCTTATATTAAAGAGCGAAGGTAGTATTTGTTATGATTGACTAACTTAATTATTTAACTTTCTTACCCAACTCAGATTAATTAAGTACTCCTCAGATCATGAATGTAAGACCCTGTGTGGATCTTACATCTAATACCAGAGGGAGTAACAGTTATATTTAGGATAAGAAAAAATTTTCTTTGTTTTTTTTTTATAAGAGACAATTACCTAAATTATATTGTTCAAAATGTTAGTTAAAATTAGCCCAGAAAAATAAGTGTGTAAAAAATGCAACTTTTTGGCTAAAAAAAAAGCTCATTTATGTGAAAGAGAGATAATGTGTGGGAATTAAATACAATGATAAAAGTAATATGAGTAATTAAATAGGAGTAAAATGAAAAATCAACAACTAAAATTTGAGACAACCTCTAAGCCTATTTTATAAAACATGATATACTTCACAATTGTTTGTTATGTAATAAGAAACGGAAGCAGTAACTTATTAATAATCAAAAAGTTGGCAAGGCTTGGTTCAGTGGGTAGATTAGTTATAGTTAGTGAGTGAGCTTTACAGTATAATACGGTAACATAAAATAATTATATCATTTTTGCTTATAAATGGCAAAAAATTTAAATCAAAACGTAATAAACTAAATCGATCAGTTTTGCTATTGAAAACCAAACTCACCCTAATCGATCTTGTTTGATTCAGATTGGCGTTCGGTATAATTGATTTAATTCGGTTTTGAACAATTTACTGTTATGGTAGTGAGGGTAATCTATGATAAAAACAAGCAACTAAAAATAAATAAATAAGTAAGTAAACGAAAGCAACTTATTCAGAAGAACTCGACTCCATCTCCATCTAATAATGTAGGATCACTATCCTCTTCCTTGTCATTATTGAATTATGGACTGAGAAACTGTCAGATGATAAAGATATACTCTCTGTGAACTTGTCTTTTTTTTCATTTTTTATTAAAGATATAAGGTTATAAGTAGTAATAAAATTATGAAAAAAAAATTTCATGTCACTAGCTTACAGGATTATTAATAAATTTTTTACACTCTTCCTCCGTGGATTCATAATTAAAAGCACTAGGCTTATTACATATTTCTCACCAACTTCTTTTAATATGCTCTCAGTGGATTCACAATTAAAGGCACTAGTATAATTTACATTATAAAATAAATTTTATATTAAGAATCTAATGAGTAATTTTATTTGACGTAACACGAATTCTTACCTTTTTGCTCATTTGTCTTAAAATTATGTTGTCATTTGCTTTCCGGGTGTAGTAATTTTTTTTAAGAATATAGTAATCAATACTAATTTAAAATTTTGAAATTTAACAGTTATTTTTTTTAGGGATTTTCCTTTTAATATACTCTTAGTAGATTCATAATTAAAGACACTTATATAATTTATATTATAAAATAAGTTTTATATTAAGAATAGAATAAGTAATTTTATTCTATGCAACACGTATTCTTACTTTTTTTTTTTTTTTGCTCACTTGCCTTAAAATTATGTTGGTTGTTTAATTTTGTGCCGAGACATGCTCGGGCCTGCATGAACCCCACAGTTGGAATTGACACATAATTAATGGCCAATTCTTCTCCTGCTTGAATGAAAGTGCAAGCCATCTTGTCTTCTTTTTTCTGTTCCAAGATTTCTTTCTCTTTGTTGAACGCAGAATCAAGCCTTGGAATTCGCTCCTTCTTTCGATCTGTGAACCCTCTGGTGGGAGTAAATTAGGACGATAATTTTAAGCTGTTTTTTTTTTCAATGTATTTTTATTGGCAAAAACAAAAGAGAGATCTTTCACGTCTTTTAAAGCGAAACGAGCTGATGATGACCATCCTTTCAACGACATATATAACAAATTTACTGTGTTTATTATAAAATCTATTTAATTAATTTGATTAGATTAAAAAAATTAAGTAAGTTAATTAATTATAAGAAATATAATTTATTTATTTTTAAATATCATAATCATTTTTTTTAATATTCTCTCTCCGTCTTCTACTTGATTATAGTTGACAAAATATTCATAGGGTAATTTTAAAAAATTGATAAATATGAAAAATAAGTTTTATATTTAGAACTAAAATCAACTCAATAATTAAGTCTCATATTAAGACTAAGAAGAGTAGATGATCTCAGACTACTAGTTAATCGGAATTGGCAAATCAAGTTTTAATAGAGAACTTAATTCCTGAGCTCCTTAGTTGATCATTTAGTGAAATTTTCTTATAAGCCTGATGTTAACTTTTATATTTTTGATCTCCCTCTACTTTCTACACAAGAGGCGGCTGGTGATGAAAGATGGTAGAATTTAACGTGTTTGATTTGTATTTTTGACTTGTTTTTAACCTTTATCAGCTCTTCATTCGAAAAGAAAAAAACGAAACGAGCATTCCTAGTCCTAATTAATTGTCATTTCAACTTTTTCTTCGATAAGACTGAGGAAGGGACTCGTGTATATATAGTTACTTTATTTTCTTCTGTCCTGATGCCACTGCTTTAAGCAGTTGTTGATATATGATTCAAGAAACACAAAGTGACAAATGAAAGATATTGGTAAAGTAAAGTGTAAAAAAAAAAAAAAAAAGAGGGTATTAATTAGCGGCGCTTCTTGGTTGGGTGAGAAGAAAGCCGTGGCCTAATAATCTTATATACTCCGTGATTCAAAGAAACTTTAATGATTTGATTTTCGACCGAAACAATTCATTAACACTTTTATCCTATCAACGCTATTTCTGCCTCCCTTCTCCGATACATGTCACTTTGTGAAGGGGTTCGATGTTCTGAAAAAATTGTAGACCTAATAGTCTGGGACACCTTCATTATAGAAAATAAGTAAATTTAGCAACCTTCCTTGACATACATGTACGTAGTCATGACTTATATTTAGAATATAAAAAATTAATATTACCCCTTCCGTGAAAATTATAAGAGCTATATAATTAATATGCAGGAATTAAGAAAAAAACCGTTCAGTTATTTATAATAAATATATATTTTTCTAAAATAATCTTTTTAATCATTTGCATTAACAACACTCATTCATGAAAATCCCTTGATATGTACAATACTCCCTCCGTTCCTTATTATAAGAGACAAATAACCGAAGTACGTTGATAAAAAAAACAGTTAAAATTAGTTAAGAATAATTAATGTGTAAAAAGTATAATTTTTTTCAAAAATACCCTCATTAATAAGGAGAGAGAGCATGAGAGAGAACAATTAAATTATTAAAAGAAAGAGAAGTGGGAGGGAGAGAGAGTGTGAGTTGGAGATAATAAATATGGGTAAAATAGTAAATCAACACAAAAAAGTAGAGACAACTTGTAAGTGTCTCTTATATATAGGAACATGTCATAAGCATCAAATGTCTCTTATAATAAGGAACGGAGGGAGTAAATAGGATAGTTTGGGGGAAAATTATAAATTTATAAAATAAAGTAAAGGGTTAATATAATCTTTGATCTTTTAAATTTGTCTTCATTTTAGTTTTGATGTTTCAAATTTCAAATCGTAAATTTTGATCCCTCAAGAAGCAAAATGATCTAGATTTTTACATTTAATTTTTAAACTAAATATGAAACTATTATTTTTTTTAAAAAAGACAATACTTACATCAAACTTTTTATATCTATTATGTCAAATTCTCCTACCATACATGATTATTTGCCCTATTTTTCAAATATTAACATTTAATATGATTTAATTATAAATTCACATGAAATAAAAAGGGACAAATGGCTATAATTATTGAAAAACTTAACTTGATGGATATAAAACTTAAGTGTTTTTCTTTTTAAGAAAATTATTTTAGTTTCATTCGAGCTTCCTAATGATTCTCTGGAACTACAGTAAACACCAACATGATTCACAAGACTTCAGATGATTAATGTGTCCTTAAATAAATTTCTTGTTAATCATTTTAAGTAAAACGGCTTCCGACACACACACACATATTCATTAAAAGAGCTAGTTAGACAATGTCAATCAAGCAAATATTTAAGGCAGGCTTGGATTAACATTTGCAATGCATGCACCACATCCATAGACTTTATAAACATATTTGTCTTGGCTTGGGCAATCAATTTATCTTAAACTCCCACCTTATGCTGCCATCATCTTCAAATGTTTGCGGATTGTCTCGGTCAAGAGTCATATTTTCTTTAAATTCCCCCTCGTACACGTTAAAATATTTATTCCAAAACGACCTCCAAAATGATCATCACACATCCAACGCTCTACAAGAATTACAACAAACAACATTGCCAGAGTAATAAATAAGTATAATAGCCAAAGACCCTTAAATTTATACCAGCCCTTGGAGGCTTGCGTATTAATTTGTGTTGATCCCTATCAAACAAATAGTAAATAATAATTGAATTCATTTTGAATTCCGTGCAAACATTGCATAAAATCCAACCCTGTTGTAGTGTTTAGCGTATCGGGCAGATGAAAGACATGTTGTGCTGCCACATCATGCATGCTTCAATAGACAAAATTCAAAATGAGATCAAGCTGCTTGAATAAACTTGAACTTCGACTTGGCCTGCTTAAGATGAAAACTTGGAACTCAGTAGATAGGCCAGGCTCAGCACCCAGAATGCAGGCTCATACAACCTGTTATGAAGCATATAAAATAAATCACTCTTTTCTCGGGTTGTTCATTAGTATCTCCTCTCGCATGTCGAATCATCTCACGATCGTCATTTCACACGAAAGCAAGGAGTGATTATTACATATGGAGCTTTGTCAAAGTTTATCCATAACTCAGCCGGTTGTTTGCAAGAAAACAAACAAATTTACATGGTCAGCAAGAGAATCTTAACTGTATTACAATAGAAATATACGTCTTATATTTCTGTCGAGGTCAGCAGTTTTTGTTTTTGAGGGTCATTAAGCAAAGCATCCCCTGGCTGCTATATGGACTCCAGCAGAGTCAGTAAAACACCATATCATCTGGTATCTTGTCCCCTCTTCAGCCTTCATTCCTGTGAAGACAGGAACGGATAAAATGTAGGCAATGCAAGCAAAAAAGGAATCCTACGAAGAGTACTCACCAGTCTGTTGCTAATCGGTTTCACTCTTTCCCGGTTAGCAACCAAGTCTAATTTCAAAACAGAAGAAGCTACCTATTGAAAGGGCAAAGAGATATCGGAGCTACCGTTCGTTCCGCTGTTGACCTACAGTACCAATTTAAATCCCTCGGACAGGAAGGCATCCCTATAAAATACAAGCCACGATTAAGCAAAAGCAAGTCAGTATTACAGATGGATGAGAAAGTTGAAAGATCAAACTGGCCCCACTAATATAAACTGGAAGCAGATTTCTATTTGGATGGGGGATTATAATACATTGACTCCAAGTCAACGCAAGTCATCCAAAGACCAAGACAAAATGCAAGATCTGACAGCCCCACTTTTTTTTTCTTTTTCTATTCTGTGTAGGATTCAGTGTACACTGCACAGCATGACTTGCTCGAGTCTAGGTCAAGGTCAATTCGCAATTACTCACGCTAAATACATGTACATATAAGTTTATGAGTGGAGTCAATAGTTAGGGGTCAATAACAAAGAGTTATACACCAGGTGGATTTTAAATTACAAAAATTTCACTAGATACCTTTCTTTCTTTGCCTCCAACTCTTGCTGCTGTTTATCAATTCTACTTTCTAGAGCTGGTGGGACAAGGCTTCCGAGACAAATTGTTCCGTCAATTAACGGGGGCATTCTAGGGATTTGAATAGAACTGATTCCATTATTTTTCAAGTCAAACCAGCAGAGCCTCTTATGGTCCAGTTCCAAGAAAACCTTGTTTCCATCTCTCGAGTAGGCTAAGGGCCTCACAAATTTTAGAGATCCTAACTCATGTGATTCATTCAATGTGAACAAGTTACACCAGGTCTCTTTGTGTCCATATTCTTTCATAACCCAAATATCCACTCGCGTGTTTTGGTAATTTGCAAGCATGCATAGGGATCGCCCCAGCAGAGCCACTTCCATCTGAAAATTCTGATTTCCCAGGTCAGGCAGAGGCACCTCCCTAAAATTTTCGTATTTCAGATCAAACGCAATGATCAGATCGGGCGCATCGGGCTCAAGCTTCCGAGTGACGACCCAGTGTAAAGCCCCGCCAACAAAAACACCCATCGTGCGTGCACAACATAGGGCGTAAGGCATATGCTGAATGGTTTTCCAACTATTGGTTCTCAGGCTATAAAGCTTGACTTGAGAATCGAAAGTACGACTGTGTAAGTCAATATAATACGAAATCCTGAGCAATTTATAATCATCGGAGAAGGAATCATACCCAAACCCATAAACTCTGGCAGCGAATAAGCTCGTATCGGATTCTGGTCGTCGCTCCACAGGCAGCAAAGCAAGAATTTTATGTTTACGAATAGAGGGGTTCCATAAAGCTATATCCTCAGCGACGTTGCAGATGCAGAGCAATCCATTGCAAGAACCTAAGACCTTAAGGCGATTACCATAGCACATGAGAGGATGGACGACCTCGACGGCTGCATCGAGAGTATCGAAATCAACTATCTGAAGATCAGAATTCTGCCTGAAAATGACGAGATTGTTGCGGTTGGTTTCGAGTGATTTGTGGAGATGGAAGGAGATGAAGTGGGAGCCGTCAATCAGGGAACGCCACGACTTGCAGGTACAGCGGAAGCGGAGGACGGACTTGACGGGCAAACGAGAGAGAATATCGATGATGACTTCCAGCGGAAGATCCGCCATGGATGGGTTGAGGAGGAGGAACGCGGCTGCGCCAGTGCATCTAAGGGAGGCTACACTTTCGAGGACATTCGAAATTTAGGGTTTCCAAGCTTTCAGCCTGAGCAGAGGAGGCAAAGGGAAGTGGACGAAATGAATTGCGAGTAAAGTCAGTGAATTTTTTATTGGAAGATAAAGCGTGAAGTGGAGTGGTTGCGACGCTACCGCGTTTGGTACATGTGTGGTTCACAGTTACGGCTCTCTAAAGCGCGTGCGCCGCGAGCCGGAGGACTCGGATTCGGCCGGCTTTTTTCTACCGTGCTGAAGAAACAAAACACAAATGCAAAAAAAAAGAAATGAAATTTTTTATTTTAACAACTGTTATTAAGCATGGTATAAAAGGCGCTACGAGAGATCTAAACCTTGGACAGGAAAGCTGGTCGTTGTGTAAGTGATTAAAGTCAACTAATGTCTTTAATCTTGATTTTATAAAAATTATTAAAACATTACAAAAGTGCTATGCGTAAAAGACTTCAATCTTGCCATTAGTTCTAGTAAAAGCCATTTTTGCCACTTAAAGATGAGGCAAGAATATAAGTTTGAGTGAACGTCCAAAAAACACATATGAGAAAATTATTTTCAATTGAGTTTGATAATGCTTGAACTCAACAAACAAATAATCTAATAAAAAAAAGCTTTAATTTTAATCCCAAAATAACATATACATGTTCAATAAAAAGATATAATTATGATAATCAAAGACATGTTTACAAAGATTCGCAAGTCCTATGAAAATTCATGTATTAAAGATTATTACAAAAGCTTTAAAAAGATGTCTTATCAATAATGATAGGGTTGTTAAGATGTAAGACCGTTGCTGACTTCATGATTTAGATGTAATTTAAACAATCTAGATTTTGTTATTTTTTGAACTTTATGGTTAAATACTGAACATTTTTTTACTTGGAAATCAAGAAAACTTAGATTAATGATTCAAATTATATTTAATTGAAATAAGGCTGTGATCTTGTGACCGAGGAAAATGACAGGCTTGGCAGCAACACCATGTGAGTGGCGGTGCACCGACATGGCAATATGGCGGCAAAGAATATCTCGAAGACCTCCAAATGGCCGCTACCAAAATATGTTTATTTTCTCAAGCAGAGCGCTGCTTCGTGTCAAAATAACAATGAGACAATAAAAAATTGCTTCCGCCTTTAATTAAAAAAAAAAAAAGTACCTATGCGTAAGGAAACACGAAACAAGGACACAAAATATGAAATAAAGATGAGAATAAATCAACACATCATATAAAAAAATTAAAATAAAAAAGAAATAATGCATAACGTTCCTTCATAGGATGGTCGTCAGGATGATAGGAGCATCGTCTCTAGGAGCAAGATCCATGTGAATTGTGAATTTTGTTCCGTGACAAGGAAAGATCCACGTGAAGTTTATTTTTCTCAAAAACAAAAGGCTTATAAGAAATTAGCTTTCTTGCTGATGACTTTGTAACCTATTAACATATGAACTCTTTTATAAGGGTTCCCAAGTTGATCCCTAAGTATTGAGATTAAGATTGAGATTGAGAAAAATCATCAAAAGAATACTTAGTTTGAATAATTTGTTGTTACGTGGAATTCAGCAAATATCCATGGAAGTGGGATTGGAGAATACCATATCTCCCTGTGCTATTTCTTAATCCCATCTACATCGGTTTGTTCAATCCTATGTAATAAGCTATTTTTCATATTAAAAACGTTTTTTTATATATTTTTTTTAATGACAATCGTAGTTGTTACTTTCCATTTTTAGCGTTTCGTATCGAATGGTATTTAGAAGTGTTTGTTCCTTGGATTAAAAAACAAAAAATAAAAGAACTAGCATTGCCCAAGTTGATCGATGACGGAAAACATTGCCTCTTAACAACGGAACATGCTGGCCTAGGTGGTCTAAATCTTGCCCGCCAATGAAGGCATAACTTCTGGGAATGTTCAAAAGGCTCTCTTTCACAAATATTCCTAAACCCAAAAGTTTTTATTTTATTCATTTATTTATTCGTCTTTGGGCTTACTTTCTACGTGATCTCCGCATATTCCTCCGCGTAAAATGCGAATAAATATGAACGGAACCCACCATGAGAATAAATGCGAACGGAACCCACAATCAGCCCATGAGCCTTGCCCGTCCCCACACTCATTCTGGGCCTTCTTCGTCTCCCTCATTGACCAATTTTGGGCCTCTAAAAGGCCCAATTCTTCATGCCCATATTGGACTGAACTAACGTCGTCCCCCAAAAAACACAATAGCCAGCCAGGGGTACAAAAAAACTTATTTAATAAAGAGAGAATTGCAATCACAGTCCCACAGAAAAAATACATAATTATTAAAAACTCTCAATAATAATCTAAACAACCTGTAATGACAGGTTTCAGAATAACAAATAACAACTTCTGGCTTGTTATTGGAACTTGTTGCCTTGTTGGTAGTTATTTTTCTTACTTGAAATCTCATTGTTTTTCTTCCTTTGATAAAGATAAGTTGTACCAACTTTAAAACAGAACATTTAACAGGAATTGGGTCTGGCAAAAAAGACTAGTTACTCACAACATAACGAACTAATATTCGAATCTCCCCCTAGAAAATGTGCCCATATTTAGTGCCCAATAATACCTCAAATAAAATTATCTTCAATAGGAGGATATCTACACATAATAAAAACAAAAAACAAAAACTTCAAAACAGAAAACACGACATTTAGATGATGTCTACTAATAAAAAGATACTCCTCCGATCTTTAATATAAGACCCATTTAATTAATTTGATTATATTAAGGAAGTCAGGTAAGTTAGTTAATTATAAGAAATGTGACACGTTTTTTCTAAAACACTATAATCATCTTTCTTAAGACCCCCTCTCCCTCTTCTACTTGATTATGGTTGAGGGAGTATCTATAAGGGTAATTTAGAGAAAAATGATAAATATGAGAAATGGGTCTTATATTTAGGATCAAAATCAACTCAAGAATTAGGTCATATATTAAGAACCGAAGGAGTAATTTGATATAAGAACTGACTTGGACGCCACTTTTTTTGGAAAAGAAAATATTGAAAACTAAAAGAGGAGAGGAAGAACATATATTTTTAATTGACATATATTTAAGCGTTAATTATTTATTATGATGATTGCCGCCGAAAAACACATTATCATGATTAACTTATTTGCATCTGCGACAACATCAGCACTGATAGGGAAGGATCATTGAAACACTTGAATTAGGCTGGTAGACAATGTTTAGAAAGTTGCTTATGTGATTTCAGTTAACATTAAGGAACAAGTGTCGCCTATTACCAATATTTCAGGACCACCCTCTTAATAAAGAAAATATACACGAGTGGGCTGCATTTAAGAAATTAAATTCATGTGATAGTGTTTCGTAACGGTGGAATGGTAGATATGTAGTGCTGCTGGGTAATCACGTGCAGTCCTGCACCCATTCAATCTTATCCCAGGTCCCCGAAGCAGGGACCCTTTCCAAGCCCATTCAATTTTGATTTTCCATTATATTTTTTTAATTTTTGATGCGTAAAATATGAAATACTACTTTCAATCCTAAATATAAGAACTACTCCTTAAATCATAATCAAGTAAGAGAAAAAAAGGATATTAAGAAAAATAATTATGATATTTCAGAAAAAACATGTCATATTTCTTATAATTAACTAACTTACTTAATTTTTTTAATCTGATCAAATTAGTTATATTGGTTTTATATTAAAGATTAAAAGAGTAGTTGAATATTCAAATTTAATTTTTTTCTAAATATAAGACCTTAATTCATATTATCTCTATATTTATTTATTTATTTTTCAAAATAACCCTATAGTGATTATACACGTTAAAAGATTTTTACTCTAATGCATATTATTAATAAAGATATTTTAAAAAATACAATATTTATTTATTACAAATAGTTAACTCAATTAATTTTTAAACACTTATAAAATAATTATCTAACTTTTATATTAAGAGCAGAAGGTAGTATATGGGGAAGTAAAACTAAAACAAAACATAAAATAGGTTCGTAATTTATATATATTATTAATTTTTTTGCCAGCTATATATAAATTATCGAAGATATGTATGGCCTTTTCATTTTAGCTCAAATTCTATCTCTTCCCTTCCACGAAAAAGGAAAACGGAAGATGAGTCGAGTTATTGGTTTGATTTGACCGCCGGTTCCAACTTTTGTATCTTTAACGTTGGTGCAAAACAATAGCATCAAGTTCCGGTCAAAAAAAAAAAAAAAAAAAAAACAATAGCATCAAGTTTAGGATCAGTTATCCTCTGATGTCATTATCCATCTCTATTCTGTATAATTTTTAATAATCATTGACTTAGTTAATACTACAATGATGGATTATTAAATTGATTATTTTCAGCTCAACATGGCATTATGGGTCACCACTAACTTTTTAGATTTAAATACCATGTTATGAAATTTATCTGTAATAATTTCTTTAATTTCATGTATAATATTTTAATATAAAAATTACTAATTTAATAACTGCCCGACAATTGCATGAGAATAAATGAAGCTTGTACGTGTCTCTTAACTAATGTAATCCTTTTGCTTTTTAAGGTATAACTAATTGGGGAAATAAATTTTGTCATAAATATAATATATATTTTAACTTACTTTATTTTTTTCATTTTTATCATTTTTTCCAAAATAGTTATCTAATTTATAAACTAATATCTTAATGAACTTATATATGAATTTTTGAAAAAAACTCACATCATAATTAATTACACTTAACTAATTTATAAATGAGAAATGCAACTTGATATTGCAAAGTAATAGGAAGATGGATAGCTGGTGATTTGCATAATCATCATGTAGATAAAGACACTGTATATAATTATATTTTTGAGACCCCAGCGTGAAACAAATAATTAAACAAATTAACGCAGGGATAGAGACATACACGTGGAGCAATTACAAGGTTCTATGAGGAGAAAAGAGCAATTATGCGCACACCACACACACACACACACACACACACACAACAAAGAAAAATATGTCTTAAAGCGTACAAGCAATGAAATGGAGGATAACAATAAAAATTTAAACACTGCAC